ATACATGTCTATGATATAAGTTTCAAAGCATTTCATCATAAAACAAAAAAGATATTAAGATTTCTGTTTCAGCCAATCAGAGCAAAGCGCACGTGCATGCGCGTGAGTTCATGCAAATTTGACCATGTCATCAAATGTACACAACTTATATATCTTTATATAATGAGTTTCAAAACATTTTATCAAAAAATGTAAAAGTTACAACCATATTAAATATATCAGTCAGTTTACTCATTGCACGCGCCCGCACGTGCATGCGAATGCGCGCAAAATGACCTTCGTTCGGCACATCTACACAACATGCCTACTAACCCTAAAAAGGTTTTATCTTAGTTTGGTGAACAGTTTCTGAGAGCACTTCCGGACAAAAAAGTACCGGAGAAGAAATAAGAAGAAAAAAGAATAATAATAATAATAATAATAATAATAATAACTAGATACGATCTCGTTGCGAGCAACGAGTGGGTCTTCCGTTCGATTTTTGATGAGATGAGATCAGATTTTGATTGAGATTTTCATTCTAAAGTAATGATTAACCATAATCTGTAAAAAGACATTGAATAATAAAGACTTCTTAAATCGACTTTTGGCCCCTCACGGCCCCTAATATCAGGGATCGGCCCTTTTTCTTTATAACATTTTAAAGCTCTCAGGATTATGAACACTTTTTGTTCAACAACTATTCAGAGATTCTTTTTCGTTTTCGAGTTATTCCGAAAAGAAATATTAAGGGACCAGCCCTTCAACACCCTAATGGGGACGTTTAGCGAAAAAGTAAAGGTTGCATATTGTTCAAAACATGGATTTGAACATCTTTTGTTCAATTTTACTTATCAAAATATTTCTCACTTTTGAGATATAAAGCGTAAAAGATTTTGCCTTATGGCCCCTTGTGGCCCCTAATTATGTAATATACGACATAAAAATCAAAATATTCAGTTGTAAATTGTTGAGATAAACATTTTTGCTTCAGTAATGCATAGCAAAGTACTGACTGTTAAAGAATTATCGAAAAAAGACTTTTAGCCCCTCTTGGCCCCTAATTTGAGTGTCCAGCCCCTTTTTCTGGATTTCATCTTAAAGCTCTTAGGATTTTGAGAACTTTTTGTTCAACAACTATTCATTGATTCGTTTTCGTTTTCGAGTTATTCGCAAAAGAAATATTTAGGGGCCAACCCTTCAACTCCCTAATGGGGACGCTTAGTGAAAAATGAAAGATTGCATATTGTTCAGAACATTATTCTAAACATCTTTTGTTCAATATTACTTGTCAAAATATTTCTCACTTTCGAGATATAAAGTGTCGAAGATTTAGCATTCTGGCCCCTTTTGGCCCCTAATCTTGTATTATACTACATTAAAATCATAATACACAGTGGTAGATTGTTGAGATAAACATTTTTGCTTCAGTAATGCATAACAAAATATTGATTGTTAAAGAGTTATCGAAAAAACACTTTAAGCCCCTTTTGGCCCTTAATGTGATGAGTCAGCACTTTTTTCTTGATATCATTCTAAAGATATTGTCATTCTGCACAAATTTTGTTCAGTATGTTTTATCAAAATGATTATACTTTAAAAGATATGATGCAAAATGTCTTAAAAAATCAGTCATGATTCGTGTCCTAAATTTTGACCCCTACCGAGCTTCCATACTAGACACTTCCGGAAAATATCCTGACCCAGGTGCAACATGGCAACATGTCCTCTATTATCACTGAAAATTTCAGCGCTCTAGCTTAAGCCGTTATTGAGTTCTATCACAGGCACGGAGGTCGTCTGAATTTTAAGAAAAGGGCGATAACTCTAGACCGGAAGTGATTTTCAAAAAATCCTTCGGCCGGAATTAACTTCAGATAATTGTGCACCAACCCTGAAAATTTGAAACAAATCGATCGAAAAATCTTTGAGAAATCGTCGGCACAAAATTTGTGCAGAAAAAAAGAATAATAATAATAATAATAATAATAAGAAAATTGAAAAAGAAACATAAGAATAATAGAAGGGTCTTCCGCTGAAGACGGAAGACCCTAATAAGAAACAGAGTAAAAACAATATGTTCCCCAACTTCGTTTGGGGAACATAATAAACATATATAAGAATCAAGTGAACATAATTATTATTGGATTTGATCACATGACCAACCTGTATTTACATCCTGATTAAAAGTTTAAATCTTGACTCATCTTAAAATACCACTATTTATAACAAAGGAGACAACTGCTGAATCACCTTTAGATTTCCTTCTGCGATGGAACTCATGATATTCTCTCTTTGATTTGTAAATCCCTCCTCAATGAAAATTGATGATAGATTTTCTGCATGGATAAATCAAAGAAATCACTCTAACTAAACATGAAAAGCTTACTGAATTGTTTTTTTCACTCAGTAAATTTATTTATAATGTTCTGCAATCTGTGAAGTACCTCTTAGTATCCCCTCTGCTGCAAATAAATCTTTTCTGTATGTAATCTGTAAGTAATACCACAAGGGGAAATAACTCTGTGTCAACATATTACATCTCATTTATATTTATTACATTTACTTAATATCTGGCAGAAAACGAGAATGAATAAGAAGAGATTTGAAAAAAAATACTGTGATACATATAATCGATTGACCCATAGATCATGAATAATCATTATTCTTATTTTGTATCACCTTTATATAATTATTTAAACAAATTTATATATAAAAATGTCCTTCAGGCTATCTTTAAAACAAATGTTTAGTTATTGCCCTTTCAAAACCAACTGATTGAATGAAAATGCTACAACTCCAAACTTCTCTTAACCTCCAGGAAACAATCATTTTTTATTCATTCTGAATTTTTCGATCCAATTATTAACTATTTATCATCATATTGACTATTGTTTTTTAAAATAATTTTTTCCCCTACCTACCAACCCAATATTTTTATCCTGAGTCAGAAGAGGACAAACGAACATATTTTTAAAGATAACCTCAACTCTGTAATAAATTACCTTCCACAGACTGTCTGGTCCCTCCACAAGTCTGACCCTGGTCCCTGTGTATTTGGAGGCCAAGTGGAGACATTCTGTTCCAAACTCAAAGTCATATTCAGAGGCCTATACGATATATTTTATATAATTATATTAATGCATTTCTCTTTGGCTTTAATTTCATTTTAATCTCCAGTTTTTGGTAAGAAAAACATCATGATTACAGAAAAATTTTACTGTTAAGCAGGGTTTCAATATTTCCTATACATTCAATTGACAAACAAAAAAAATGAAAAAAACCCAGCAATCTCATAATTTTTTAAAAATGTTATCAATAAGGTAAATGTTTGAATGAAATCATCCATAAAATGTGGGATCAAATTTTGTTAAAAAGAGTTACACAATACCTTTTCATAAGCAGTGTTGATGATATCTAATTGGAATCCCTGGGGCATCTCACTGGCCAGGTATTTAGTTCTGTCAAGAGATTCCGACAGAAATCCGTCACTGTCCCTCGCTATCACTGTAGAGGTCAAAGGTCGAGTAATACCAGCAGCCTGTTGGAAAAGCAAAGCATTTACAAAATTATCGATGTTGTTCAAATTGTTTTTTAACTCATTCAACAAAACAAAATTGCTGACCATTTCTTGAATCTCTTTATTATTTAATATTTATAATCTAATTCAATCAAACACTTACATCATTTATGTTTAGTCATTATATTGCATTAGGAAGAAATTCTGTAAGAGAACAAGCATCAGTTCTATTTAAACTTAAACAGATGATTAAAACCATTCAATGAATATTGCTACACTCTAAAGTACAGTTCTGACTTACACCATGCTGTTTGGCTGCCAAAGCTACATCCTTTATGACAGATTCCTCTGCTAGTACACGTACAATGTCATGAATAAGGACAACAGCATCCCCTGTATACACTGAAATCAACATACAATGTCATGAATCAGGACTACAACATCCCCTGTATACAGAGAAATCAACATCACATACAATGTCATGAACCATGACTACAACATCCTCTGTATACACTGAAATCAACATACAATGTCATGAATCAGGACTACAACATCCCTTGTATACACTGAAATCAACATACAATGTCATGAATCAGGACTACAACATCCCCTGTATACACTGAAACCAACATACAATGTCATAAATCATGACTACAGCATCCCCTGTATACACTGAAATCAACAACACATACAATGTCATAAATCAGGACTACGACATCCCCTGTATACACTGAAATCAACATACAATGTCATGAATCAGGACTACAACATCCCCTGTATACACTGAAACCAACATACAATGTCATAAATCATGACTACAGCATCCCCTGTATACACTGAAATCAACAACACATACAATGTCATGAATCAGGACTACGATATCCCCTGTATACACTGAAATCAACATACAATGTCATGAATCAGGACTACGACATCCCTTGTATACACTGAAACCAACAACACATACAATGTCAAAAATCAGGACTACGACATCCCCTGTATACACTGAAACCAACATACAATGTCATAAATCATGACTACAGCATCCCCTGTATACACTGAAATCAACAACACATACAATGTCAAAAATCAGGACTACGACATCCCCTGTATACACTGAAATCAACATACAATGTCATGAATCAGGACTACAACATCCCCTGTATACACTGAAACCAACAACACATACAATGTCATGAATCAGGACTACAACATCCCCTGTATACAGAGAAATCAACATCACATACAATGTCATGAATCATGACTACAGCATCCCCTGTATTCACTGAAATCAACATACAATGTCATGAATCAGGACTACGACATCCCTTGTATACACTGAAATCAACATACAATGTCATGAATCATGACTACGACATCCCTTGTATACACTGAAATCAACATACAATGTCATGAATCAGGACTACAACATCCCCTGTATACACTGAAATCAACATACAATGTCATGAATCAGGACTACAACATCCCCTGTATACACTGAAACCAACATACAATGTCATGAGTAGGACCTCAACATCCCCTGTATACACTGAAATCAACAACAACATGTACAATGTCATGAATCAGGACTATGATCTTGCTGCAGAACTGTAGCTCTGGGCTGGAGAAAATTTGGAATAAAGCAGAGAACTACAGATTATAACATTGTAAAAAGTTCTGCAGCAAACTATGGGCAAATGTTTAACAGAAAATTTATTTGAACTTTTGGATCAGGTGAGCTAAAAATATACAAGAGACCTATGGATCACAATGCTCACCTGAGTAACTTTGGTCCTGCTATTTTTCACCTGATTTCTTCCTATGTAATACCTATTATTGCCCCATCCCAATCTGTGGGGGTCATGATTTGAATATTTTTTAATCTACACTACACCAGAATGCTTCCATTTAAGTTTCTGCTTTTTTGACCCAGTGATTCTTGAGAAGAAGATATTTTAATGATACCATCTTTCTTTTCCTTTTATTGATTATCTCCCCTTGGAAGGGGGCTGACATTTCATTTTAACAATTTAAGCCCACTTCGACCTAGAATGCTTTGTACCATTTTTATTTAAAATTGGCTCAGTGATTCTTGAAAAGAGGTTAAAAATGTGAAAAGTTTACAGAAGGAAGAACGGATGAAGGACAAAGGGTGGTTAAAAAAGCTCATCTGAGCTTTCAGCTCAGGTGGACTAGAGTCAGAGAAACTCAACTTTGTTCATTTTCAAATAGTATATTCGTTTCCTCAGTGTTTTATTATATACCCACCGTCTCTGAGGGCCTTGACTCCGTTATAAATAGATCTGTGTCGTGTTTCTGCCCCCGCCACCACCCTGACTCGGGTCAAGTTGTTCTTCTTTAATTGTTCCTTTACCCAGAAAATGTCATCAGGGGAGACAACTACCACAACAGTGTGTACCCATGGGAATCTGTAAATAAAACAGGTATAAAGTGTAAACAATAACACTACAGTTTGTACCCACGGGAATCTGAAATAAAACAGGTATAAAGTGTAAACAATAACACTACAATGTGCACCCACATGAATCTGTAAATAAAACAGGTATAAAGTGTAAACACTAACACTACAGTGTGTACCCAGGGGAATCTGTAAATAAAACAGGTATAAAGTGTAAACAATAACTACAGTGTATACCCATGGGAATCTGAAATAAAACAGGTATAAAGTATAAACAATAACACTACAGTGTATACCCATGGGAATCTGTAAATAAAACAGGCATAAAGTATAAACAATAACACTACAGTGTGTACCCATGGGAATCTGTAAATAAAACAGGTATAAAGTGTAAACAATAACACTACTGTGTGTACCTATGGGAATCTGTAAATAAAACAGGTATAAAGTATAAACAATAACACTACAGTGTGTACCCATGGGAATCTGTAAGTAAAACAGGTATAAAGTGTAAACAATAACACTACAATGTGTACCCACGGGAATCTGTAAATAAAACAGGCATAAAGTATAAACAATAACACTACTGTGTGTACCTATGGGAATCTGTAAATAAAACAGGTATAAAGTGTAAACAATAACACTACAATGTGTACCTATGGGAATCTGTAAATAAAACAGGTATAAAGTATAAACAATAACACTACAGTGTATACCTATGGGAATCTGTAAATAAAACAGGTATAAAGTATAAACAATAACACTACAGTGTATACCTATGGGAATCTGTAAATAAAACAGGTATAAAGTATAAACAATAACACTACAGTGTATACCTATGGGAATCTGTAAATAAAACAGGTATAAAGTATAAACAATAACACTACAGTGTATACCTATGGGAATCTGTAAATAAAACAGGTATAAAGTGTAAACAATAACTACAGTGTATACCTATGGGAATCTGTAAATAAAACAGGTATAAAGTGTAAACAATAACACTACAATGTGTACCTATGGGAATGTAAATAAAACAGGTATAAAGTGTAAACAATAACACAACAATGTGTACACACAGGAATCTGTAAATAAAACAGGTATAAAGTATAAACAATAACACTACAATGTGTACCCAGGGGAATCTGTAAATAAAACAGGTATAAAGTATAAACAATAACACTACAGTGTACCCAGGGGAATCTGTAAATAAAACAGGTATAAAGTATAAATAATAACACTACAATGTGTACCCACAGGAATCTGTAAATAAAACAGGTATAAAGTATAAACAATAACACTACAGTGTATACCTATGGGAATCTGTAAATAAAACAGGTATAAAGTATAAACAATAACACAACAATGTGTACCTATGGGAATGTAAATAAAACAGGTATAAAGTGTAAACAATAACACTACAGTGTGTACCTATGGGAATCTGTTAATAAAACAGGTATAAAGTATAAACAATAACACTACAGTGTATACCTATGGGAATCTGTAAATAAAACAGGTACAAAGTGTAAACAATAACACAACAATGTGTACCCACGGGAATCTGTAAATAAAACAAGTATAAAGTGTAAACAATAACACAACAATGTGTACCTATGGGAATGTAAATAAAACAGGTATAAAGTGTAAACAATAACACAACAATGTGTACCCACGGGAATCTGTAAATAAAACAGGTATAAAGTATAAACAATAACACTACAATGTGTACCCAGGGGAATCTGTAAATAAAACAGGTATAAAGTATAAACAATAACACTACAGTGTACCCAGGGGAATCTGTAAATAAAACAGGTATAAAGTATAAATAATAACACTACAATGTGTACCCACGGGAATCTGTAAATAAAACAGGTATAAAGTATAAACAATAACACTACAGTGTATACCTATGGGAATCTGTAAATAAAACAGGTATAAAGTATAAACAATAACACTACTGTGTGTACCTATGGGAATCTGTAAATAAAACAGGTATAAAGTATAAACAATAACACTACAGTGTATACCTATGGGAATCTGTAAATAAAACAGGTATAAAGTATAAACAATAACACTACTGTGTGTACCTATGGGAATCTGTAAATAAAACAGGTATAAAGTATAAACAATAACACTACAGTGTACACCTATGGGAATCTGTAAATAAAACAGGTATAAAGTATAAACAATAACACTACAGTTTATACCTATGGGAATCTGTAAATAATACAGGTATAAAGTATAAACAATAACACTACAGTGTGTACCCATGGGAATCTGTAAATAAAACAGGTATAAAGTATAAACAATAACACTACAGTGTGTAGCCACGGGAATCTGTAAATAAAACAGGTATAAAGTATAAACAATAACACTACAGTGTGTTCCCACGGAAATCTGTAAATAAAACAGGTATAAAGTGTAAACTATACCACCACAGTGTGTACCCACGGAAATCTGTAAATAAAACCGGTATAAAGTGTAAACAATAACACAACAATGTGTACCCATGGGAATCTGTAAATAAAACAGGTATAAAGTGTAAACAATAACACTACAGTGTATACCTATGGGAATCTGTAAATAAAACAGGTATAAAGTATAAACAATAACACTACAGTGTGTAGCCACGGGAATCTGTAAATAAAACAGGTATAAAGTATAAACAATAACACTACTGTGTGTACCTATGGGAATCTGTAAATAAAACAGGTATAAAGTGTAAACAATAACACTAGTGTGTACCCAGGGGAATCTGTCCAACTGTATATAAAAAAAAGAAACAAGGCCTTGAAACCTCACTCAGGTACAATGAAACATACTAGAAGCATCATCCGTGGGACTGTGTTCAATACAGGGCATAGATTAAGAACATGTTTGAAAGAAATCAACTCCAAAAACTTTAACCTGGGACTTCGAAACTGGGGTTATTTAAATGTTAGCTTCCAAAACTCTTGTGAGATAAGCCTAAAAATAATCATTGATTTTTTTTGTGATATTAGATAAACTAGTGCTTCTTGTACAACTATGACAACGGCACAAAGAGAAACACTAAAACACAGTCAATGAACCAAAAGTCTGATCAAATGGCCAAGTGACCTTAAGCTGAATTTGTTTTTACTAAAAAAATGTAAGTATGATATAATAATTTACATGAAATGCTGAAGCTTGTCTTTGTAGTCTTTAAAACATTAATATTTTTCTGCCAAAGGTTAAATTATTAATAAGAGAATGTTGTTGTTTGGTGGGGGGGGGGGGGGGATTAACATTAGCTATAGTTCCATTTTCGATCATTTATTATAATTATTCTTGTCCATTATCAGTTTGGTGCACTGGGTCAAAAAAATGCCATTTGACCAAGATTTTTTTTTTTTTCATTTTAGTAAAATCAAGGATTATTTCTAGAGATGTTTAGGTGAGGAGATATAATTGAAACAAGCAAGCTTTTATTAACTCTGAAGGCTGATACTTTGGAGTTTGAGGCTTCCAGATAAACATTCTAGTAAAGACGGGACTTACACCGCTAATGACAAGAACATAATAAGTCTAATAAGATCCAACCAGAAGTCTTTGATAAGACTGTAGCTCTACTGGTCTGTACGCATAACAAAGGAAAAGTAGCACTTGGATTTGAAACTTTGCAACAGGCGGCAATAAATAGAATTATGTATCTTAGTGTAGTCTACTTGTGTGCCAAGTTACACTGAAATCAGAATAAAACTGTAGGAGGAGTAGGGTATTAAAGGAATTTCACAGAAATTATTATTTTAGTAACAATGGCAACACTGTTCATGGCAATAAAAAAACGATACATTAAATGATGTATCTTAGTGTAGTCTACTTGTGTGCCAAGTTATACTAAAATCAGACCAACACTGTTGGAAGAGTAGCATTTTGAAAAATTGTTTACAGACAGACAGATGGACAGATGACAGACACCTTACTATTGCATAATAATATACTCTTCTGAATCAGTTTTCAAAGCAACTTGGGCAACAAGATGTATTGAACTTGCAATAGGGAATGGTAAATCTCATATAATTCAACAAATTTGTTTTCCTTAATACCAGTAGATTTTCTGTTTGTGTGTGATTGTGCAAATAAAACAATGCCATATTTATTTGTTATTACAGAGATAACCACATCCTATTTGAATAAGGAATGGCCACTGCCACTAGCCAGGCACAGGAACTCATAACCTGTGACCTTAAATGTGTCAAACCTGTCCAGCAATTTTGTAACAGCTGCCAAGTCGGTCTGTGTGAAGACTGCATCAACAAACATGTCAAGAGCCTCAAGTCCATGAAGCATGACATTGTTCCTTTCACAAAGCGTACAGTACAGCTTGTGTTCCCTCAGTGTACATCTCATTCCCATCAGAGATGTGAGGCCCACTGTCAACAATGTGATGTCCCGGTCTGCATTGATTGCATCACTGACCAACATAGAGGACACTATGAGGTGAGCATGGCAGACATCATTGCAATAAAAAAAGAAAATATCAAAAAAGAGGCAGAAGAAATGGAGGACATCATTTCAAAAAATACCAAAGAGGATGCAGATGCTGAAAACAAAATTTCAATATTCAATGCCCATTATGCAGGTTTAGAAAATCGATCTAAAAAACAAAGAAACCAGTGGCACATGGAGGTGGCAAGCACATTTAACAAAATTGATTTACTGATCTGGTCCCAAAGAGATCATCATATCACCACTCTGAAATCATGCCAGTCCACACTCAGAAGTCAGAATTCCAGCATGATCCAAACTTGTCAAGAAAACAAAGAAATACTGAAGTCTAACAAAGTGTCTGAAGTCAACAACTACAAATCCAAACTGAAGGAATACAGAAACATTCCACAAATACCTGATTTACCATTGCCCTCTCTTCAAACAAACACAGTCCAAGGGAGAGAACTCAGCATAGAATTAGGAGAATACAAGGCTACACTGACACAGACATCACTATCCAGTCTGACAGATGAAGTTTCCATTTTATCTGTTAAAGAATTATTAGAAGAGGACAGAGTGATTGCTAGTATTCGAACAAATGTAAAAAACTTAGATAAAGTGGCCTGTGAAGGATCAGATAAAGCTTGGATAAATGGAACAGACAATATGATAACCTGTGTGGACATACATGGAGCTGTACAAGACACTGTCACCAGTACAAGTAAGAACTCCACTAATGACATAACAGTGACCAAACAGGGAGAACTGATATACAGTGATGGTGTCAATAGAACTGTGAACATTGTCAGAGATGGGAAGACAGAGACACTGATCACCACACCAAGGGGCTGGCATCCAGATGGATTGTGTAGTACCAGGTCAGGGGACATCCTAGTAAATATGCATTCAACTGATAAAAACCATCATAAAACCATTAGTTATCAGGAACAGTCACAGAGGGTGACAATGGAAATATATAAAGATGAACGTGGAAATCCAATCTATCATAGAGGAGACTATGGAGTGTATGTGGTGGAGAACAACAATGGAGACATAGTGGCCTCTGATCGTAATGCTAGAGCAGTGGTAGTGGTGGACAGGACAGGAAAAGTCAGATTCAGATACAACAACAAACCTCCAGGGGGAAAGAAATCATTCGGTCCTGTACAAATAGTGACAGACTCCATGGGTCACATCATTGTGGCTGATGAATTCAATAATTGTCTACACATCCTAGATCAGAATGGACAGTTCCTGAGATGTGTGGATAAGTTTGAAGGAAATGCACCTTATGGACTGAGTGTGGACAGTGAGGGGAGGTTGTGGGTAGGGTTGTTCAGTACTTGGAAATTAAAAGTGATACAGTATTTAAAATACACATGGAATTGAGAATGTGACACACATGTATCAGTAATAACAAAAAATTTTGAAGATCGTCCTCCTTATAATCACAAAACATATACGCTCTTTAGTTGGGCCTTTTGAAAATGACAGATTTGAACAAGACGTGTTTGTGAAACACTATGCTCCCAGTGGCAACAAAGTCTGAAGTAGCTATTTTTAGCATACAGGCCACAGTCAAGGTCACAAGGTCATTGACCTGGGTGTCATTTGAAGGAAGTTAATTAGTGGAGTAGGCATACTAAATATGAAGACTCTATCTCCTTTGGTTCAAAAGTAATGGCAAAAGTTTGTAAAAGCTATTTTTAGCATAAAGGTCACAGTCCAGGTCGAAAAGTCAATGACCTTGGTGTCATTTGAAAGAGTTTAATTAGTGGAGTAAGCATACCAAATATGAAGTCTGCATCTCTCACAGTTCATAAGTTATGGCGAAGGTTAAAGTTGACAACAGACAGACAAACAGATAAACAGACAGACAAACAGACAGGACAAAAACAATATACACACCGAATCTATCGATTCGGGCGCATTGATTATGTGATAAGTAACCATTATATCATGTACAGTGTATATGTATATAATCACAAGTCCAACTTTTAAATAGCAAATTAGCGATCATATGACAAGGGATAGTGTAGAGTTCTGGATATGGTTTTCTTCGTCATCAGGGGAAATCATAGCTGCAGATCTGATCCTGTAATGCAAAAAAGGTGCAATTTATCATTATTTATGGTGCAAGATTTTTTGTGCAATTTTGTGGAGAATTTCTCCACTTACCACCATTGGTCAATCAACCATCTTTCACTCCCTAATTCTAGATACATTCTATAGCCAATATGTATATTTTATCTTCCTCCCAACCCTTTATAGTTGTCTCTACAGGCAATGAACTTGCTTGAAGTGAATTTTCAGCAATCTAACAAATAATTTTAATCAAGCGAGTTTATCACTTGTAGAGACAACTATAAAGGGTTAAGAGGTGGATAAAATATACAGATTGGTTACAGAATGTGTCTAGAATTAGGGAGTGAAAGGTAGTTGATTGACTGATGGTGGTAAGTGGAGAAATTCTCCACAAAACTGCGCAAAAAAAATCTTGTGCCGTAAATTGCATCTTTTTTTCATTACGGGATCTGTAGTGTTACGGTCAAAGACTAATATATAAAACCATAATGCTACAGTTCTGCAGCTAGGGAAATCAGTGATTCATAACTTCAGTTAAGGTCATACCAAAACAACAGATATCGGTATTTGGATTCATTTTTCTAGTATTAAAACATGCACACAGAATCACACAACTCTTCTGTCAGTAGATAAGATTGATATTGCTGGTGTTTACTACTTATTCTTGCAATATTGTACTCTTTACTTCACAATAAATGCATAACCAACCAAATGCTTTTTTTCCTTTAAATGAAAATAATTTCTATACATTTGTTGTCATTTCCACTGGTCGAAACGTAAATATTAGCAATCAAGAGAAAATATTAATACCTTTGCAATCTGATTAAAATCAGAATCTTTGATCCGCTCACAAAGATCGCTTCACAAGGATCTGAGGAAACACCATTCAGGGTCATCTCCTGGTGACCTTTCAATTATCCAATCAAACGTTCACTTTTAAGAATTTACAAGTATCTCAGACCACAGTCTTTTCTATACATAAATATATTAAGAACTTGCTTTTGCCTTGTTTTTTTAGCTCTTTTGTTTTGTATGAAACAATAAAATCTTCTCCATTATTAGCTACTTTTACCTCTACATTGATCATTTTCCTGAAAGTCACTTAAGTACGATCTATCTGATCATGCTGATTGGTCAAAATTTTAATGACTATTTTTTAGAGATATCAAATCGGTCAATTTTCAACACTCGGTTACTCGGACGTTTTTCCGATTGAGTACCCGGGTACTCGGTAAAAGTGTAAATAAAGATGAACAAGTAAATTGAAGACTGTAAAACATTGTAAACTCTCGTAGAAATAAAACCAGATGCACTGATAGGAGGCTTATCCGTAAATGTATTTCTGTTGTAATAATGATGAGCACTTCGTGCCCGACGAAATTTAATATAACAATTTTTAAATTCAATTTATTTATCAGATAAACACAAGAAATAAAATCATAAGTTGTTCACAGTGTTTTTGTTTTCAAAAAATATTCTGCTCCGTAATTGTAATGTAACTCTTTGTCGCGTTTGACAACCAGGTATCAGTCGTCAGAGCTACGTACAGTATCAACTTCAACTTGATCAAGTTCTCCTAACAGAGTGGATTTACGATTTTAGTACACTTGTTCGATCCGAGATTTATATAGTATTACGGGACATTATTTTGTAGTTTGATGCAACAATGGACATCAGTTTTTTTAAAAGCCTTTGCCTTCAACCAGTTGTATTGGCATGTAATCAAACACAACCATATCAACAATCGCACGTGTAATATCATCCGCTCTTTTCCCGAGAATTTACCGCTTCTCGGAGAATTGACAAAATTATCTAATTTATTTAAACATAATGGATCTTAAACGATGTTCAGTGAAAACAAATAATTAAAGCCAAAAAAAAAAAAAAAAATAAGGGAAGAAGGCAGCCGAAGGTGAGAAAAGCCAGGTACCCCAGGTACTTGGTCACGATAATTACTGTATAAACATTGCCACAGGCGATAACGGTCATTTAGAGTCGTAGTAAACCCTAATTACTGTATGTACAAGTGCAATGAGCATTTTACGTTTTAAAACAGATTGTTTAATGCAGTAATAAATAAGCCTAGAAATATTTAAAAATATACATCCGAGTAACCGAGTACTGACTTTAGTATTCGATACTCGGACGTTCGATCGAGTACCCGGTTAACCGGGTACTCGTTGACATCCCTACTATTTTTATTAGAAAGGTCACCAGGAGATGACCCTGAAGAGGGTTTCTTTAGATCCTTGTGTAGTGACCTGAGCGGATCAAAGAATCTGATTTTAATGAGATTGAATTCCAATGAGAAAGACAATTTATTGTCCTAGAAACATGACAAATCAACACATGGTACTTCATGTACTATCTTCACTTAATCATACCTACCTATGGAAAGCCTGCACAGTATACAAAAACAGGGGTTTGTTCAAGACACAGGTGTATTGTTTTGGTGTTGGTGATCCAAACCTTAGACCCACGCCACTTCCTGGTAAAACTACATACACAGGAAAATCCATCTGGTCTAAAAGAGAGAAAAGCCAGTATTGACTAATGATACTCATTTGTGACTTCCATAATCATGATAATACACAACAGATACTGTATAAATGGAAATTTCCGCCCCCATTTTATTTTTGCCCCTTTCGCCCTTGTCACAAGTGGGGTAATTTTAAACAATATTCACAGTGGATCAGTACACTTAGAAAAAATTGAAAAGAATCCATGGAAATCAACTGAACTAGGGGCTGGACAACTTAAGTTGAAACTTCTTGGCTGCTGTCATAATTACTGACAACAACTCGGAACTCAACTTTCAGTATTTATTTTTTTATGATATATTTTTTTTTTGGTATTTTCTTTACAAAAAATACCTTAAGCAAGGTATCTGTAATACCTTGATAAAGCTATATTACTTTATCAATATAGCTTTATCATAATAGTTGTCTGGTATTTTTAATATTTTTTCTACCCCCCCCCCCCCTTACTACAGCCTGTTTTAGCTGGGGAAGTATTACACTGTTTATTCTGTAACATTGAGGAAGCTAAAAAAGATTATATTCAGACTTGTTGAAAAGCTAAACTTGTTTCAAGTTGAGTTAGAAGTGTTAATATTATCAACTTACGGGAAATACTTGTCGTTCTTAAAATAAAGTCAGAAGACATCCGAAAGGATAAGTCAAGATAGTATTCCGAAAAAAAATCTAGTTCTTTCTAACACAAATTTTAATTGGATAATTTTTTATCTCTAAACCAATGAAAACAGACTTAAGAATACACAGTACGGCTGAGGTTTCAAAATGGCTGAATCTGGAGGATCATTGTTCAAAAAAAGAACAAAACAACAAATTTCTCGACGGAAAGCCAAAAGTGAATCAGGTAAGTGTAGAATTATCGTTTAAACCCTGATTCTAAAGAGTTCCAGTTATGGTCATAAATAGTCTGCCACAAAATGGTTTAGAAACACGGAAGTAAAGTAGATGAAAGTGTCCACATAGGTAAATCTCTTGGAAAATGCACCCCAAGCTAAATAACAATTTTCGTTATAACTTTCTAAATTCCTATAATTGATCAAAACTTGTCAGATTAATCAATAATATGTTTATTTAACGATTGTCTTGATTCCAACTTAGATTTATGAAAAGTTCTAAAATGAAAAAAAAAAATGTATAGTTTGATCAATGATAGGTGTATTGCAGTCATTTGACGAAATCTACATGTATTGTACATGTATTTGATTAAGGAAACACTGTCTAGTTTACTGAGTATAATATGCCAGGGCATCAACGATAATTGATGTCCCTGGCATACTATACTAACTAGACAGTGATTCCTTATATTTCCATTTCACTGTGAAATAAAATTGTAGATTTAGATTTTAAAAATGTAGACATGGATCTAAATTACATGAGGACTCCCATGCCAATTTCAAAAGTCCTCTCCCACTGACGTCAAATACAAAGACAGCCGCACGAGATTTACATGCATATTTGGCCAACTTAGCTATTGACCTGTCTAATTTACATTCCGGTAGAATTTTTAAGAAATCAACTCCAATAACTTTCAAAGAGTTATCACAGAGAAATAATTAGAAATGGAAATGTAATGGCATCAGCTTACCTGTAATCGCGGCTTTTCATATTTAGGTAAATTGTGTTGAAATGTACATATTCATATATGTCTAAAGCAATGATTAAATAATTCGTATAGCACTAGTGATAAGATTTTTTTTTTGTATGAGGCCATGCAGATAGGTGTATCCTTTAATACTACGGCTCTAATTGGACTCTGTTCAAAGGCATCTCAACCATTTTGTTAATACAATGTTACACTTTCTCGGAATTTCGAAGTTACAGAACATGACTTGTAATATTGCATGCTAGGCAATTTTTTTTCTTTTGTTTGTTTAGCGTCCACACTAAAGTGAAAAAAAAATCTTTCTATCTGAATAAAAAAAAATATAATGAAATGGAAAAGCACAACATGAAGAATTTCTCATCATCTGGGAATATACATTGTATCAAATATAAATTACTAGTGTAGCGAAATTAAAATTTTTGGTACACAAAAAAGGGGGGCCGATCTGAAAGAGTAAACTGTGTGGCAAACATTTGTATTTGTACATTTTCATAGTGTGTTTGTTTTCATATATACCTAAAAACTAATTCCGAGTCATTCGCTAACGCTAAACATAGAGATTTTGTTGCAACCAAATGGAACTTGCAGAAAATCTTAAGGCTCATAAACCCTCTGGTCATGCACTTATATAAAATGTTGCTTTAACCTCAATAATTTTCCAGAAGAAGTTCATAAAGGAATATATGTAATAGACATTTATGGCATTAAGAGTTATCTCTCTTATCAGAGTATTGATGTACCTTAAGACATAGCGGGGTGTTGAGTGAACAGAGTATAAACTCGTCATCTATGATTTCAATGTTAAAGTGGCAATTTATATTATTACATGCTGATATAACATGAATTGAATAGAAAGGCCATCTTTCAGCTAATGTTTGATAGTCCTCTCCCGACTCAGGGTAAAATAAATGGGTCGCTAGGTAGTTGGGATTTTTTTCTTAAAAACTTTATTAACATGTGTTATCAGGATGAGACCCAACAAATCTTGTCCTGGAATATTAAAACAAAGTTTTGAGTCGGTACATTTTTAGTTCATCGGTTGGGAGAGTGCAACTTTTTAATATAGTGATTTTTTTGATTTTTTTTTGGGGGGGGGGGGTCATATTTAGGTAGCTGGAAGCTGAAAACAAATCAATTTTCAATTTAGGCTCAGATTTCTTGAATTGCATTATTAACGCTTACGATTACAGGTGATAGTACTTTTTTCAGCTATCATTAATACATTCTCAAAAGATGTTGCCATATCAATATTAATTAATCTTCTATAAGAACATCGCAAGCACCAATGGAATATCATATTGTCTTTTCAGCCTAGTCTATTGTTGTTTCTTTTGTTGACATATTTTAAGCATAAAATCAATGTCGGTATAATGCTCAAAAATAAATAAATAAATACTGCGTGTATCTAGCTGTATCTTATTTCTAAAAATTTATTTTAACAACTCTTATTTTTTTGAATGATAAATACATTTTATAAAGACTAGATGTATATTCACAGATTCTCTCTCTCTCTCTCTCTCTCAATCGATGGATCGATAAAATATTAATATGCATGTAAGTATCGCCAGGGGAAATAAGTGTAAACTGTCCGAGGACTATGAATCATTAAAAAAAAACACATATGCTATGGCACGCCAAATTTTACAACGCTAGCGTACTCCAAACCTACGTCATAATTTAACGTCAATGTAAAGAAATATGAGGTCATATATTAGACCAGTACCAATTTAAAAATAAAGGCCCATACTTGTGTCAAAATTTAGATATTACTGTATTTACTTTAAACTGAGATAAATGATAAATAAACGAAAAAGTTTAACATGTATTACAAAGCGACATTTTTGTCGGTTTGACGTTGACATGGTAAACAACATTTTTGTCGCTTTGGAGTCGAAAGGGTTAAATAGCTATATAGCTAAAATTAGAAATACCCGAGCCGTTTAAGTGACGAATGTATGACGTCAAATAAAAAGTCCTGTTGACTTAGAACACAAACGATAGTTTTCTGGCATGGAGATTGCATTAAATCGTTGTTTATTATTTTTTTCAAGTAAGTTGTTGCTATGTTTTAGCCACCATGTTGCTATGCACCGCAAAGGATTATTGGGAATTAAGAATGTTTTCAGGTGAACTCATAAGAATGGCAAGAACCATGGTACAAAAGATTTGAAGCCATTTGTCATTTGGATGCCCCCTTTTACAATCAATCTTGTTAGAACATAGCTTTAACAAGAGATGCATTGTGGGTGTAGAGTAATGACAGAAATGATTTGCTTGCCATGAATCAGTGTGCAAAGACAGAATTTTTTCTTTGCCCAGGCATTGCTTGTTTAATGCTCACAGTGACAAGCAACGATCGCTGCACTCGCTATTAATGTTGTACCAAATAAGTTGAATTTTGGCGAGATGCAAATTTAGCGATTTCACATTAAAGATTGGTATTTTATTTTTAGCGAGATGTAATTTTAGGGATTTCAAAATGCTCACTAAATAAGCTATTGCAAATAAAAGGCAATTAATTTTTAGCGATATTTAGTTTTAGCAATCTCTGCACCCTCGCTAATAATGCCAAAATTAAATCTATTCATCGTTAAAAATTCTGCTTATACTGTATTTGAAATTATATAATCAAGTTTATCATATTAAGTACATGTATTATATCAAATCATAATATATAGATGATTCATGGCAAGAGACCCAATCTCCCTAATTTTATAGAAACTTTTATTATAAATATCAATTTTGTACTAACATACATTATTGTGATTATATGATTGGATAAATTACAGAAAGCAGCAATTCAGATGAGGAGGGAAATGTTGCCGTCAAGAAAGCAAAAAAGTCTAAACACAATCCCATGGTTCAAGGGGTATGTTTGTAAAAAAAAAAGATTATTTTACCTGTTTCGATATGCAATTTTTAAAATTTTTAAATGGAACTTGAATGTGTTGAAAGTATACATTTCTCAATTAAATAAGCCAAATTTTTTAAAGAGAGAGAGAGAATAAAGACTTAGTGTGTTTTGTCTGAGGCTATTAATTTAAGGGTTTATTTTTAAAATAGTTGCACACGGGAGAAAATATCATTTTATTTACCAACTCTAGATGAAAGACTTTAAAATTATTTGTTTCAGACAAAGGGATTTCATAGAAAACATGAGGTGGATTACAGCGGAAGTGAGAGTGAGGATGAAAACAAAATTTCAGTCAGCTACAAATCAAGTAGGACGGGGGTAAGTATTGAGTATTGACTACACATTTTACCATGTTTACTTAGATTACACAGGACATTTGTAATCATTATTGTACAATATGCTTTCATTTTGTTATACTGAAGCATATTAAAAGCAAAACTTGTACTCATTCATCTGATTAAAGTTTGTTTATCTTCTCATTTTTATTTTTGGAGAAGGGGTGACAACTATGAAATTGTAAAAGCTTTTTGATATATAGTGAATCTTTACATTCACTGTAGACCACACTGAATCTGTTTATTGTAGAAGCGAGCTGGGCCTGATGACATGGGAGCTACAGCGACGGTTGAAATTGACACAGAAAAAGACCGAGATGCGCAAGCCATATTTGAAAAATCTCAGGAAATTAACAAGGTAACAAGCAATTTCACCGCAAAAGTAATTAAATTCAGCATGCTGATTTAAAAAAAAATAAGTTTAACATTATGTCTTTGTGGAAAATAAAGTTTTTAGAGCTTATTTGTTTAGAATTTTAAAACAATCAAAATCTTCACATCAGGTAATCATCGATGCTCATGTATCTATAGCTGCAGAACTGTAGCATTATGGTTTAATGTATAAGTCTTTGACCATAATGCTACATTTTCCTTAAAGCAAATATGGTGCATTTTACAAAACAAGATTTTCTGCACATTTTTGGGGAGAATTTCTCCACTTTCTAGCTTTGGTCAATTCAATACCTTTCTCTGCATAATTCTAGACATATTTTTTAACCAAGTTGAACCTGTATATTTTATCCACGCCGTACATTTAACCCTCTATAGTCAGCTCTACAGACAGATAAACTCGCTTGTTTTGAATTTCTTACCATTTGACCACAAAAACAAGGATCGGGAGCATTATGGTCAAACACTAAAATATAAAACCATAATGCTACAGTTCTGCAGCTAGCACCTCCAGGATCTCTACACTATTTTACAATACTTTGATCCAATTTTGTTTTCAGTTATATAAAGTAGTTGTTAATTTTATCCTCAGTTATTCTTAGTAATTATTTATTTTATCCAGGCCCTTAAAGGAATGGAAGATGACAAGATATATAGGGGTATTAATAACTACGCTCCAATCATAGAGAAAAAAGATACAGCACAGGGTAATGCCTCCAGTGGAATGGTCAGGTGAGTTAGCCTGACATGTTATTGTCCAATATTCAAAGCAAGGTATATTTAGATAGTAAAAGGATCAGGTATGTCACAGCCCAGGACTTTGTGTAATGTAAATTAGTTTTTATTTGCGAGAACTTTATTTTCACATAATTACACAAGTAACAATGACTGCAATTCGTGAAAATTTTGTCTCACTGAAAAAGTGTAAATGAGTACTAGTATCTCACGAAAAAAAAGGTGTTGCGAAAATTAAGTGATCTACAGTATAAAAGAAGTGAAACGGATAAGAAAGTAGTCACAGCCTAGGGCAAAGTTTCAGTAGGATGGCCGGGTAAGTCAAAAAAGAGGGCAAACTTCTGTCTGTTACTGCATGATCAGATTGTTCAGGGCAAAGCTTCCCATTCTAAACAACTCCTAAACTCACATACTCTATTGTGAAATGCAAAGTGCCTCCAGTTCTAAACAACTGCTTTACTCAAATGCTCTGTCCTGAAATGTAAAGTCTGCTAATGTTATCTGTAATCTAAAGTGCCTGTATTTGAGGAATTTCTAACTTTCTACAATGATGATGAATCTTATGCCACTAACTTCTCTGTGTAATGTTACCTGTAGGAAGGGCCCCGTGAGAGCACCTGCTCACCTGAGAGCCACGGTGAGGTGGGACTACCAGCCTGACATCTGTAAAGATTACAAGGAAACCGGCTTCTGTGGATTTGGAGGTGAGTACTTTTACAGTTCAGCTCTGTTATCTCAGTCACTGATATCTAGAATACCAAAGGGATCTGACAGTCCCAGCCAATCTTTCTGTATTGAGTTTATTATCTCACAATCCTTGGATTTCTTGATGAAATTATCTCAGTCCTGTCAAGTTTGAGTTAAAAAGGTTAGACTTATATACATTTACAGTTGATACTTGTTTATCCAGATTCACAAAATCTTCAAGAAAACCTAAAGAAATAGTCGATTTCAACCATATGTCCAAGACTTACTGTTATATACTTTAATAAACATTTACATTAGCACTGTAACTTAACATCCACATTTGAAAATCACTTTTAAATTAGCCAGACATTCATGACTGACTTTAGTAAAAGTTGTCAGTCATAAATATCCAGAATATAAAAGTTGAACATATTCTACAGTGTTTATAATTAATTTTTCACAATATTATCATAAGGGACTGTTCTTTTCAAACAGCATTTTTTAGACAGAATTGTGTTATGTTAGTACATGTAATATTTAACAATGTTATCATAAGGGCCTGTGTAAGTGTGTTTTTCAGACAGCTGTAAATTTTTACATGACAGAGTTGAGTTATATTTATTCTGTTTTTTTTTTTTCAGACAGCTGTAAATTTTTACACGACAGAGTTGATTTATATTTATTCTGGGTTTTTTTTCAGACAGCTGTAAATTTTTACACGACAGGAGTGATTACAAACATGGCTGGCAGCTGGAGAGAGAGATGGATGAGGGAAGATACGGGAAAAGTGGTAAGATAGGTTACCCCGAAAAATCACAGAAAATTTAATAAAGTCTAGAGTCTGAGAGTCAGTATTGTAATTAATGATTGCTTTGTTTCCCTTTTACCAGATGAAGGGAACTATGAGATCAGTAGTGATGAGGATGAGATGCCGTTTAAGTGTTTTATCTGTCGAGAGTACTTCACTAATCCAGTGGTTACAAAGTAAGTGTAATCCTTTAAATGTTTTATCTGTCGCCGTGTCGGGAGTACTTCACTAATCCAGTGGTTACAAAGTAAGTGTAATCCTTTAAATGTTTTATCTGTCGAGAGTACTTCACTAATCCAGTGGTTACAAAGTAAGTGTACTGTATAGGGGGAAAATAACTCGCGGTGTTTATATTCGCTATATTCACGGTGTTCATAAATCCGTGAATTCAAGAAACAGTGAATAAATTTTTAATAATCTCCATGTTTTATTTGGAAATTTGAGAATAAACTACGATAGGTTTATATACATGTACGTGCAGTATATGGTCATTTCAGTAATTACGAGTAGTACTTGTCATTCAATTATTTTAATTACCACGCTATACTTTAATTCTAATCAGCAGATAATAACCAGCTGTATTTGTTAAAAAGCTGTTTTAATAGCCAACACTACATGTTTCGTCAATCAAAACACGTGGGCCATGGATTTGATTACCCGTGCGTTACTAATGTTACCAAGTGTGTTAGTTACATTTACCTGCATTAACACGCATATTAATTTTTATCGACGTTTTAAAAACAGTCAAATAACTATCGAACTTACTGAAGATTTTGGAAGGGTATTATTTCGATGACCTACATTAAAACATTTATTACCGCCCAGTGGTTTTTCGCCGCATTAACGTTGTATTGCAGATCTGGGGGTATACATGCACTCATCGTAATGTGCAAGGACGTTTTATAATTGCACTTGTTTTAATTAATCGTCAATTATTTATTTATTCTAACAATTTTATATTAACCTACCCTGTTGATGTCGTTTACATGTAGCTAAATGGGATATAGACCAGGGAGGTAACTTTTGTTTTTTATCAATTCCGTGAATTCAAGAAACCGCGATCGTGTCAGATGAAAGAAAAACATGAAAATTACAACCCGTGAAATTAATCCCCTATACAGTAATCCTTTAAATGTTTTATCTGTCAAGAGTACTTCACTAATCCAGTGATTACAAAGTAAGTGTAATTCTGTAGAGAGTACTTCACTAATCCAGTGGTTACAAAGTATTCACTAATCCAGTGGTTACAAAGTAAGTGTAATCCTGCCGAGAGTACTTCACTAATCTCGTGGTTACAAAGTAAGTGTAATCCTGTCGGGAGTAGTTCACTACTCCAGTGGTTACAAAGTAAGTGTAATCCTTTAAATGTTTTATCTGTCAAGAGTACTTCACTAATCCAGTGGTTACAAAGTAAGTGTAATCCTGTCGGGAGTACTTCACTAATCCAGTGGTTACAAAGTAAGTGTAATCCTTTAAATGTTTTATCTGTCAAGAGTACTTCACTAATCCAGTGATTACAAAGTAAGTGTAATCCTTTAAATGTATACATGGTATACATGGTACAGTTTGAGGGCAATAAGGTTTGAAATAGAGTGAATTTGATTATAAGTTTATTCAAGATTTTGTTGTCTTTCAGATGTAAGCACTATTTTTGTGAGAAGTGTGCACTAAGTCAGTACAAGAAATCCAAGAGGTGTTTTGTGTGTAATGAACAAACAATGGGAGTCTTCAACCCAGCTAAAGGTTAGTGGATACAGTACATACAATGTATATATGTGTACATATATACAGTAAAACACAGTCACACAAAACACACCAACCCAGCTAGAGGTTAGTGTATACAGTACATACATAAGTATGTACAATAAAAGCCAAAGGCGTTTATGCATAAAATTATCACACAAGCCAATCGATTGATCATCTTCATGAAATTGAAAAACCTGACAGTTATTCCTTTTATTTACATGCTTTGATTCCACCAATCCACGTGCTCCAAGCCCTGCTTCTGTCTAGCTATTTCTCCCGCCCTGCACGTGGTTTTTTTTGAACCGCGCTAATACATGGATGGGGAAATAAAGTACATTTACAATTGGTAATTTTATCTTGGACAAAGACATTGGAAATGTAAATATATGTACATATATACAGTAAAACACAGACGCACAATAGTCAGACATCTACCAACTATCAAGATTCGTTAAACCTTGTTAGAATTTTTCAGCAAAAAATAAACTGTTTTCATGTTTGTTTCAATATATATAACCTTAAATGTTGTATGGATTTCCCATCCTTTGATAACATTCAGCAGCTTACCAGAGATTGCTTTTGATTGACATACATTCTGATAGGGATGATCAATTCCTGTACATAATTAATGGAGAGAGGTTTAAAAGTACACCACTAATGATATCAGTACTTAAGAGGGGATGTAAAATACACTTATCTAAAAATGGAATATCAATATTTCATTATATTTTTAATTTTTCAATATGCCTGATCTTGACTGTTATTGTTGATATTATAACTCCCATTTTAAGCTCTGGAAACAGACAAGGTTAAATGTTTTGTTAAAGTGTTCATGTTGTCCTCTCCACACTTGGGGGAAAAAATGGGTGGATAGGCAGGTGACAAATTTTTTCCAGTAAATTTTGACATCAATGCTGAATTTTCAAAATATATTCCAGGAATGACTGAAAAATAAATGCTTCCTGGCGGTTAGAAAAAAAATCAAGTCAGTTTAAAGCCAGTCAGTCGGGAGAGAGCAATCAACTAATTTTGTTCAAGAAGGCTAGTTGGCAGTGTTTTGATTTTTAAGGTCTTCCGTTTCAGACGGAAGGCCTTATAGTGATTCTACTGTTTCTTTTTAAGGTCTTCCGTCTTCAGCGGAAGACCTTATTGTTTTTCTTAGGTTTCTTTTCCACTATTTCTATTATTATTGTTTTTTTTTCTTACCAATTTTGTACGCGCGATTTCTCGAGAACGGCTCGATCGATTTTCATGAAACTTTCAGGTCTGATAGAACATCAAAAAATCTAGATATATATTTTTTTATTTTGATGACGTCACTTCCGGTCCGGAGATTTCTGCGATTGAGTGATTTTTAGAGGGTCACATTGTCCGGCAGTTTTCTCAAAAAGCACTTAACACAGAAGCTTGAAATTTTCAGTGATGCTAGAGCAACTTTTGAAGAAGTGCACTAAGTATATCACAACTACCGGAAGTACGAAGCGCCGACGCTCGCTATGGCCCGAAAATAGTCCTATCAAGAATTTCAAAATTTTAAGCACCTTTTCAACGATAACTTTTTACCTAGAAATATTTTGTTAAAACATGTAGAACAAAAAAGGTGTAGAATTTCAAGATCTTTCAAATGACATCTCGAAAAAAGGGCTCGCCCCTTAAATAAGGGGCCTAGAGGGGCCGAAAGTTTTTCCTTTATATCTCAAAAAGTATTAAGAATTTGTAATACATCAAAGAAGCAAAGTTGTTCAAAATTTCAAGCTTAATCTATTGAAGTCGTCAAAATACGTCCGGCTTCGTCACTTCCGGCCAAACCGGAAGTAGTCGAAAAAGCCGTAGTTTTGCCGTTCTTGACAAGTTTTTGGGTAACATATGTCTCTGGGAGCTTAAAAATTAATTTTCCGTCCGTCGTCGGTACTTCCGGTCAAACCGGAAGTAGCTAAAAATGGCTTATTTTTGCATTAATTAACTTAGCCTTAGAGGATTCAAAGCATTTTTGGGCGTTATTTCTCATTTTTGTTAAAAATCAAAGCTACTTCCGGTCAAACAGGACGGAAGACCTACTCGTTGCTTTGCAACGAGCTTTGCTCTAGTTATTATTATTTTTTTCCCCTTTTGAGATTTCTTTTTTTGACGATTTCTCTGAGATGACTGGACAGATTCTCATGAAATTTTCAGGGATGATAGAGAATAGAAATATCTTTCAAATGCAGTTTTCAGTTTTTCAAAATTCACTTCTGGTCGTCAGATATGTCCGATTTCCGCTTTTTTCAAAAAAGTTTTGTCCGAGTCATATCTCAGAAACGGTTAGAGATTAAGACACCAAACTTATATGAGTAATAGATCTTGATAAGTAGGCAAAACCAATTGGGTTAAGATTGTCCGCTGTTACTTCCGGTCGTCACAGGAAGTGATCAAAGAAATCGTAAAATTCAACTTTTTCTTTTTTAAAAGTTTTTTGCAACATCTTATAGCATCTTATTTGTAGTTCCGAAATATGTCAGTCCCACCGGAAACAAAAACGACAACTTCCGGTTATTAGAAAAAAACTGCAAAATTTGAGTATTTTTCTTTCCCATAAATATTTTTTACAGTGAATGTATTTGTAATGATTTTTGGATATGTTATTCAGACTGCAACTGTCTACAGTAACTTCAAATATCTTAGTAAAATTCACTTCCGGTCGCGCGATTTCCTGTCCTCAAAATGAAAAGTTTTCATAGCTAGATCTCGTAAACGGTAAAAGATTAAGACACCAAATTTTAATAAGTGGTAGATCTTGATAAGTAGGCAAAACCAGTTGGAATAAATTGTCCAACGTCACTTCCGGTCGTCACAGGAAGTGATCAAAGAAATCGAAAAATTCAAGTTTTCTTAAATAAATGAAAACTTTTTTGCATCACATTATAGCATCTTATTTGTAGTATCGAAATATGCCAGCAACCGGGAGCAAAAACGACAACTTCCGGTTATTAGAGAAAAACTGCATAATTTGAGTATTTTTCTTTCCCATAAATACTTTTTATAGATATAGAATTTGTAATGGTTTTTGGATATGTTTATCAGACTGCAACTGTCTACATTAAAGTCAAACATCTTTGTAAAATTCACTTCCGGTTGCGTGATTTCCTGTCCTCAAAATGAGAAGTTATCATAGCTAGATCTCGTAAATGGTAAAAGATTAAGACACCAAACTTACACGAGTGATAGACCTTGACGAGTAAGCAAACCCATTTGGGTTTCCATTGTCAGCTGTCACTTCCGTTTGTCACAGGAAGTGAACAAATAATTCAAAAATTTCATTTTTTATGGAATCTTTCTTAGTAATACATTTTAGCATCTTATTTGTAGTTTTGAAATATGTCAGTACCACTGGAAACAAAAACGACTACTTCCGGTTATGAGAGAAAACTGCATAAATTTAGTATCATACTATCCCATAAATATCTTTTTATAAAAAGAGCATTTGAAATGATTTTAGGGCATGTTATTCACACTAAAATGTATAGAGTAACGTCAAATATCTTTTCAAAAACTTACTTCCGGTCACGTGATTTTTTTTTTATAACATTACGAGATCTCTTAAACTGTAACAGATCAAAACACTAAACTTATACATGTATGAATAATATACCATGAAGAAAGGGCAACAGATATACAGTAAAATGCGTTCACTGTCACTTCCGGTCGTCACAGAAAGTGATAAAAAAAATTAAAAATGATTTTTGTAAATGTAATTCAGACTATAATTGTCTAAAGTAACGTCGAGAATCGAATCTTGGTAAGTTACATCTCCGGCCGTTTGTTTTCCTGAAGTCATTTAAAATATTAAATGCCTTTTTAACATAGATAAAAGCTCATTCATGCAGATAAATAGAGGTGAACGGAAGACCTTCTTTGTTGCTGTAGCAACAAGAGTTTCTAGTTTTGTCTTACTGTTATGTGATATGAAAAAGTTGATCTGTTTGATATATCTAATTGATATGTTTTAATTTTCATTTCAAACAGAGCTGATGGCAAAGATAAAGAAAGCCAAAGAAACCAAAGAATCACAGGATTCTGATGTCGAGGATACGGGGGGTGGGGGAAGTGAGGAAGAAGACTGATTTAGAGGGAGGGGTGTGTGAGGAGGAGGACTGATTTAGGGGGAGGGGTGTAAATAGAAAGACTGAGAGTGAAGTGGAAAGGAAGATTGATTGGAGGGAGGTGAGTAGGACTGAGGAAGAAATGAAGAAAGGACTGAGGGGAGGGGAAAGTAAAGGGGACTGTTGTTTTAGGGGTTTAAAGAAAAAGACTAAGTGGGAAGGGCATTAAAAGAAGGACTGAAAGGGAAAGTGAAAAGAATGAACTAAGGGGTAGGGGAATAAAGAAGATGACTGATTAGAAAGGGAGGGGGTAGTGAACTAAAGGTGGAGGACTATGTGAAATGAAGAGGCAGCGGGACAGAACAGGAAGAAAACAAGAGGCAGTGGATGTGTAGACCCAGTGTTACCGAGACACATTGAATTATTGAACAGATGATATTTATTCATGATGTAAAACATCAATATTTACCAACCCGGATAATTAAAATGCTCAATAAAAGACACAAAGGTGCTTGCTTTCTGTCATTTTATTGAACTGAGGAATAGTTAATGCTGAAACTTTAGATATATCAAGCATAACCATTGTCTGAACTTTTTTTTCTAATCTTACAAAGTTGCTCATTATGTCTGAAAAAAAAATTATTTGAATTATTTAAATTGTGCTCAGATGAAAAGATATAAAGTTTAATGTTTACTGACGTTTTTTATACTAATTGTTAAGCAGTTATTTACAAACTGAATTATTGAACTTTCCTTTCATGACAAGAAGCACATGGAGGGTGTGACCGGTCAGCAGGGGATGTTCACTCCTCCATGGCACCTGATTCCACCTATGATCTTTTAGAGGTCTGTGTTTGCTCTGCTCTGATTTTTTTTATATTTTTAAAATGTTTAGGTTATCATAGGTTATTAGTTACCACATAAATACCAGCAAAGCAGGAAAAATATTAACAATGAAGATTAAGGACAGTTTAAAATTTGACCATGTTTTGGTAACGTGGCTCTGTCCAAAGGGAAAAATTAACCTATTTCTACTAAATACTTTCCAAGCTTAGAAGACATCAATAAAAAAAGAGTCCAGTAATTAAGAAGAAAACTAAAATTAAAGAAAACCTCTACATAAACATTGTAAAGTAGAAATCAATACTTTTGGTCAAGAATAAGCAATGGTTCTATGTAAAACTGAGCTGAGACTAGGTTTAAAATTTTAAGCACATCTCTAATAATTCAATTATTTTTAGAAAAAAAAAATTAAAAATGAATCAATTCCTGGATGTGTTCCTTAAGTAGTAATGAAACGGATGCATTAATTTTTGTCCAGGAAATGTTTTAATTTTTGAAAATGTGTATGTAGAAATCTAACTGTTAAAGCAATATGGGCTGCAACTTAAATGTCGGATTTTTTTTGTTGCAATATTATATAAATAACTATTTCACTGACAGAATAAAAATTACTTTAATAAACATCTGTTGTAGCAGTTCATATTTGCGATGGAAGAACTATTTATTAGCTTCGATTGAATCAAAATTACATTATTGTTGCCCTTTGCAATAATGATTTTTTTTTAAATGTAAAACTGTATATTGGATTGTGTATAGCAGTCTTTCTTCTGCTTTATTTTAGTCTAATTGATAAGTTAAATACAAATTTATCATAATAACACACTTTAACAGCAAAATAAAATTTCCAAAAATGCAGCTCATAATGCTACCACAGGGGCTTGCTCCTGGCGTGTAAAAAATATTTATTAAAAAAAAAAAAATAAACGATATACTATAAAATGTAGTTTTATAGTATATCGTTTATGGGTTTTTTTAATGAATATTTTTTACACGCCAGGAGCAAGCCCCTGTGATGCTACAAAGCAGTCCACCCCTCGCGAAGAGCAGATCTATGAATCAAGACGACATCGATCTCGATGCAATTGACATTGCTTCCGTTTTGCACAGGAATTGCGATAACCACACACACCCTCACACACAATTGAGTTACTTTTATTCCCTTTAACTCTGTAGCCAGGAGATGATAGGCTAGTATATCTTTAGTATCACTAGCAGTGGAAACCCCAGTCCGAGATTTACAACCATACACTTAACAAGAAAAAGTGAAGGTAAGGAGCGTAATCAATGTTAAAAGTCCATTGAAATTACACAGATTGTGAGCAGAGCAAACAAACATTAGGGGTTTGGATCATGTGCCACAGTTGAGTTAAACATCCCTTACCGACCGGTCACAGTACCATGTGCACCTTGTCAAAATTTGGCAAACGTAAAGATCCATGGACAATTCTGTGTGAAAATAATGGCCTTACAGTTTAATTGTATAAAAACGCCAGGCAGATTTCAAGTTAATGATGAATTGTATTTGCTGACAAGGTCATTGTATCGACCATAAAAATTTCGAAACGATGCTTTTAAAGCTAGAAGACTGTTGATTTTCTTTCATCAACTTATTTCCAACATTATTAGGGGCGTGTCGGCAAATCTACTTGTATCGATATTCAATTTATCATTATCACAGTTTTAGAATAATTTCCAATCACGATAACGTGCATGCATTTAATTTAATTTAAATAAATTGAGGAAGTTCATAATATTTTTATAAATAGTTTGAGAATCAAAGAGAATAAATTTATACTTCACTTAACATGTTCAATAATTCCTAAGAAAAGCGAAAGCAGCATTGCATGTTTGCAAAGTATCAATAAAACGAATATGTGAAATCGTATATCTAAAATCAAATTTTATTTTATTTTACAAAATAAGTTTGTCGGAAAAGACACCTTGATATACAAGCTACCCGGAAGCTCTCGAGAAAAAACGAAAACAATTGCAGAAATGAAAGAAAAGTAAGAGACTAGAGGAACCGGACACGAATCATTTGTCTTGATTTACATTACGTCGATCCATCTGATTGCTGCTCAGGAAAAAGACGGGTCGTTAAGTCAGCTTTGCATTAATTTTCCCTTCCATTGACATAAATCCACATCCATACTTGATGACATGTAGATATAGGGGGAAATCTTTGAAAATGAAAGCATGGGAATTTAGCAGATGGCACAATTAGCGAAACTATTTATGTATTGGCGAAATTGATATCTAATAACTAACATATTGATCGATGGAACCACGTCTGTAAAATAAAAAAAATCAATATGGGAGCCAAGCTTACTCTGTTCTGTTAGATTTGTAGCAAAACTCTGCATTTAAATAGCAATGGAACATCGATAAGTCTTGGTTCCTCGTTTCGTTAAGTAAAATCAATGCATTAACATACTCGCAGCTTTTTCCGCGAGAGAGCGCTAGTCCTGCAAACTTTGAGTACAAATTCTCAATCTCAGGAGCGCGGTCTCTGTGATTCCTCAGAAAACAGTTTCTCTTCACACACAGTTTCTCACGTTAGCGCTGAAGTACCGTGAAGCTGCAGCATTGATCCGGCCACCAGTACAGAAATGGATATTAAATATTGTTATTAGTGGACCCCCGGGACTGTCGCCGGTCAGACAAGAAGCTGAAGATGCCCCCAGAGTTGGATTCGGACGATAGCGATGTGGAGAAGTCACCGTCCACGGAAAGTCAGAAGTACAAAGTGCACTCACATCTCAACACGGACTACGGCAAAAAGTCAAACAGGGACATCATAGACAACATGTTCTCCTACATCAACCGGGACCTACTGATCTGTAAGCTGTTTTATTTCTTCTTCTTTGCGGCCTTCGGGTCTCTGTTTCCTCTGCTTGCCATCTATTTTAAACAGCTGGCAATGAATCCCACCAGAAGCGGCATACTGATCGGCTTCCGGCCCTTTGTGGAGTTTTGCAGCGCCCCCTTTTGGGGAAGTCTAGCCGATAGGTACAAGAAGGGGAAACAACTACTTTTATTTTCCTTATTGTGTTGGATAGTGTTCACTTTAGCAATAGCGTTTGTGAAACCCCCTCACTACAAATGTATTGAGTTTGGGAATTCCACCCTTCACGGTCCGCCACAAGGTTTTGACAGCCGAGGGGTGACCGACGTCATCGGCAGATGGAAGCGGGATGTTAGTGACGATTTTATTTATTCTCATAGTGAAATGGTGCACGCTGCAGTATTACATGTGCAAAGCCGATTTAAACGAGCAGAAGAAACGCCTAATAACTATGTCTCTTCAACTGTTCTAACCTCTGCTCTAACCACAAAATCAACCATAGACAATAATACAAGCACCACCACAAGGTCCAAAACCACGTCTTCCAAACCAGCTCCCCCATCCTCAGACGAGAGGGAATCCGGGGGGTACACGTGCCCCCCTCACAGCACCCAGTGCTTCAAAAACTCCGACATCCAGGATACGTTCTTTAAGCTTCTCCTGCTAGTTGTTATAGGGGAATTCTTCAGCGCACCTGCCATCACGTTCGTGGATTCCGTCACCCTGGCCTATCTCGGGGAGGACACGGATAACTATGGCCGTCAGAGGATGTTCGGGTCGCTGGGATGGGGTGTCTCTATGTTTTTTGTTGGACTTGCTTTAGACCATTCCAGCACATTTCCAAATCACCCGTGTATGTATACATTTGTTACAGAGAAGAACTACACAATATGTTTTGCTGTGTTTTCAGTTTTGATGAGTTGTGCTTTTATCACAGCAACACAACTCAAGTTTGATGACCGGCATGGCGGAGGTCAGGATATTCAGTTGATGGAAATTGTTACAAGGGTCAAGGACAAGGTTGTTGGGGCAATAAAGGGAGAGAAAACTGACCAAAAAGGGATTTTTAAGAGTGATGAAGATGCTGAAATCGGGTATTTGGAGTCCAAGGCTAGCGAATCTAACTTAGAGCGAATGGAATCACAAGACCCTTCCTACCAAAACCAAAACGGGGGTGGAACAGTGAACGAGAATGGTAAAAACCTTCACATCTCGCTACAAAAGGGAAACAATGATATGGTGGACGATGCTGTGAAGGCGTCTGGGTACACAAAGGTCAACGGCCCGGATGATGAGGACGATGAGCCGTTCCTGGGGAAGTGGTTCGCTGTGCTGAAGATGCTGGCCACATTCCGGTACATCTCGGTCCTGTTTATTTCCTGGTTTATGGGGTTCGGGATCGGCCTGATCTTCACCTTCCTGTTTTGGCATCTACAAGACATCGGCGGAAGTCCCACTCTGTTTGGTGTCGCCTCCGTCTTCAACCACGTGTCGGAGTTAATAACTTACTTCTTCAGTCGAAACATCATCAATAGATTCGGTGAGTGGGCATTTCTTTGATTATTGTTTTTAACTTGAAAAGGCCTCACTAGGGTCTTTGATTGTGCTCTTACAAGTCTGTTGCCGTTGCTCTGTAGAGACTGAATGTTTATTGATCCCAAACCGGATAAAAATATTCAATTTGCGAAAATTCAGTGGAAGTTCTGTTAGCAGATTTTAGATTTATGGTTGATTCTCAAAAATTCATAAGAAGTTTTAAGAAGAAAATCTATATTTAAATATAAACTTTTCAAAATCATTAACATCTAAAATATGGCATCTTGTGATATAGGCCTAATCATCTACATTTGTACAATGTTACTTTTGTAAAAACAAAAAATCACGCTAATTCTACATGTATCAACATGTGTTGATAATAAAAGTATGCTGGAGTTTCTCACAGACAATTAATGTCTATATTATAGTCTTTGGAAATCAGGTATATTCTAACAATTTGATGATATCTCGTTGGGCACTTATTGTGCTCCTTTATTAGCAGACCTATATTCATTATTCCTTTGAAGCAGAAATTATTTAAAATTTTTACATGAAAACTGTTACAAGAAGGATCTGTCACGGGTAGATCAGTCGGTAGGGCGCATGCTCCGTGATGGGAAGTGTGTCCGAATTAGGGCCGCGACTGACATAAGTTGATGAAAAGGCACCAAATGTTCCTTCTCCAAGCGTTCCACACCACTTTGAAGTGAAATTTGCGGGTCCCTCTGATTGATGAGACTGAAAAACCGAGGCCCCGTGTCACAGTAGGCGTTGGCACTATGAAGAACCCTTACTGCCCAATGGCCCTGAGTGCCGAGTAAGCGTCTAAATTTGAAGCGCTTCATTGGGATATGATGAAGTCTCTATATGAGTAAAAAAAATTCTCTATGGTAACGTTATAATACAACATAAAATCAGTCAATCTACTTATTTACTTCAGAAGAAAACGCTTCGTATAACGTATTGGGATTTGTCAATTTACAAAAAAAAAATTACTTTTACTTATTTGTTGACTTCATTTATCACAGTGAACTCGAAATAATAGACAGACCAGAGTCTGCCACATTTGTTTTATATTTGGATTTTTTACGGATGTAGATGGCAGTGGATTTCACCATTCACATTGACGGTCAATCAATGGGGACACACCACATGAGCTGGTTCCCTCAGAAATATTATATTTCACTATCATTAACTATATCACCTGCATACGATGTTTACGTCTTCCAGCTTATTCGAAATACTAATGAGCATGACCTGAAAACGATCAAATTTATAAGCCAAGTACGGCTACTGGCATAAAAATTGATATAACAGGAATTCTAAGAACTTTGATAAAAGTAAGCATTTCATAAATCCATGGTCATTATTTGACCTTGTTAGTAAATAGAATTTATCACTTGGTTTTGTTTTGACCATTTTTATCCTTTTGTTTCCTATACGTTGAGATCGAGCATTGTTCGTTATCTCCACTTATTCCATTAATTGAGGTTAGTTTGTATCATCTGTAGAAAACAAATATCTGACCATGTGATTGAACTCCATGAAGTCAGGACATCGTTCAAGCTTTCTTTATTTTTTTTAAATGAGCTGACTGTGATTGCGTGCTTGTTCCATTGAGACATAGAACCTTAACGAACATACAGAGTTTGTTATAACCATCTCTGTTTAACCAAGTCTCTCATCAAGAAAAAATAAAAGTAGGCGTTACTGTGGTATCAAAGAAAAGCTTTTACAAAAACATAACATGGAAAGGTAATGCATTAATTTACAAAAGCCTAAACGTTGAGAAGTGAAGCTTACGTTGAGAAGTGATGTTTGTAGCTTTAATGACGGCATATATTGCCTGTCGGTCTACAGAGATGGCTGAAAGAAATGTCGACATTGCGTGACTCAGCATGCCCACGACAATAGGGAAACCCAAAGAACGAGAATTATTTTTCTCCAAAAATATGATTAAGTGATATGCGTTTTGTAGCCTGGACACACATAATCGATGTTGTAGTCTTAGAGTGTATCGATTATGCAAACCAAATCACAACTTTACCGTATCTCATTGTCCGGAGCATAAACATACTTTAGTAGTAAGCAAGAATGAATTAAGAATTTTAAAAATGCAATATTTTTTTTCTTTGTTTCTTTTTATGCCTTATCTTTTGCATTAAATGCCTTGTGCGATTTTTTCTTATATCTTTCAAATCTTACATGTACCTCCGTATTTCATTGGAAAAGAAAGTTATAGTTGATTTAAAAAAAAAAAAAAAAAGATCCAGAGTTGTATATAAAATTTACTTCGTGAAAGTGCAAGAATTAGTGTTAATGACACATTTCCCGAGAAAAAAGATTGATTGATTGTATGTTGTTTAAAGTCCCCCTCGATTTTTTTCTTTTATACTGATATGGAGACGCCACCACTTGCCGGTGGAGAGCTGCAAAATTTTTCCTATACTCGGCAGTCAGATCAAATTGAGCAGTGAGGGATCTTTTTCGTGCCAGCACCATCTGCGACACGGGACCTCGTTTTATACGGTCTCATCCGAAGGACCGGTCTCCACGGCCAAAAGTGGGATTCGAACCCGTGACGTATGATTGACTCCTTACTTCACGACTCTAGAGCAGAGACTCTAACCACTAAACGCGCTTTGATCATAGTTTTATTTTATTTTTAGGCAGTAGCAACAAGTCATATAGGCTGTAGCAACAATCATGTAGGCTGTAGCAACAAGTCATTTAGTCTGCTCTAACAACAAGTCATGTATAGACAGTAGCAACAATTCATGTAGTCTGTAGCAACAAGCCATGATTTTATATTGATTCTTTTTTTTTAATAGAAAGGTATATTTACATCAAATATGTGCCCAAACCACTTTAATCGATACAAAGCTGTATCTACCAGAAGAGTATTTCTTTAAAATTGTATTTTCAAAGACAGATTAATCGTTAATGATAACACGAGGAAACGTGTATTTCATCAACTGTTCATTTATCTGTTTATGTCATTCAGATATCGCGTTTTATATTCCACCACAGGCACCTAAATTTTTATCAGTAAGTCGCTAAATAAGCCATATATCGAAAAATTCTACCCCCTCTATATAGTGTATTTATATATAGAGGGGGTAGAATTTTTCGATATTTGGCTTATTTAGCGACTTACTGATTAAAATTCAGGTGCCTGTGATTCCACAAAGATATCTATTCATATTTCAAGATATCGCCTTTCATGTTTCATCAAGATACCGCTTTTCATATTCCATCAAGAGATTCATTTTCTCGTCCATTTATGAAAACAAACTTAAAGTTATAGGTTTAAAGACTAGAGGCTCGAATTAAGTGGGCTTGACAGGATCTGCCTCGTTTTGGAGTTTTCTTCTGATTACATCATCAATTATTCAGACCCTCCCACGACACACACGATTATCCCTGCAGATTTATATGATAATCGAAATCTCAAGTAGCAGCAGTTAGTATTAATGACACAAAGTGAAACTACCTTTAATGAAGAAATATCGGATGGTGTTTGGTTGACATTCGCTTGATTAGGATATGGGTCAGTTGTTGGGAACCGAGACTGCAACATACGGACTTTATATCAAAGTTGTCACTTAATAATGAAATGCACAAAGGTCATCAAACCTATAAACTGTAAAAATTGTGTTTAGAATTCAAACACTTTTCTAAACACTTTTTTGTCACCTTCTTTTTTATACGTTTAATTCCTAAACATGTTTAGTTTCTAAACACGTATGAGAAAGTGTTTAGAATGGAAGCACATAAGTGTTTAGATTCTAAACACTTTGTCATACATGTTTCGAAATTTTACATGTTTAGGAATTAAACATATAAAAAAGAAGGTGACAGAAAAGTGCTTAGAAAAGTGTTTGAATTTTAAACACATTTCTTAATTATGTGCTTAGAAACTAAACATATCTAGATTTAACGTATTACAACAAGTGTTACTGCAGAAAAACTATAAACACTTGTAAATTTGGGCACAAAGAACATATTAACCGGAACTTAATACACAAAATAATGTCGAAATTTTCAAAATATTAACCGTCGGACATAAATTATTCATCATATGGTCTCTATCTAATTGCTTAGATATGTAGATACTTTACAATTGTGTGACGTTCTTTTTTTACACAAACTCTATAAGTTCAATCAGCATGACATATACATTATATTTATAACGCAGGGATAAGCAATAAAAATAAAAAAAGCTAGCAATTTTATATATCAAAACTTCCTTTAATCTTTTTTAAAATGCATTGTTAAAGATATATCAATTAAAATTATAAACCATTTATTTGATATAATATTTTGTATATGATTAATTACAGTGTCAATCGGTTGCAGAGTGTTGTCAGTCATTAATATGTCAAACTTGATTAACTTTCAGCAGTCCTAAAGCACTACATAGCACCTCATGATATAATATCCGATCAGTATTAAACTGCCAAAAAGTAATCCATTTCAAATGCACAAGGATAATCACAAAATGATAATTTTAGGTACATGTATTCAAATCCACCGAACATTGTCGAATTAAGGGTAGCACAATACACTTCATAAAAATACGTTGATCACGGAACAACAATTTGCACTTGAAGATGACGCCATGCACAGATGCAGGTACTTTGATCCATGCTTTGAGTTCAATCCGGACTACTCACATAACCTGTAGGAAAGAAAGTCAGATTTAAGTAAAAGTACCGTATGCTGCCCATTGAAGATGACATCAATTTTTCAAGTTGCATTGGAACTATACTTAAATTAAAATAGTTATTTCTAAAGAAATTCAGTAAAACCTCCTCTCCTACAAGTCTGTAAACGACCTCAAAGGCACTGTTTACATTGCTCATCTTGGTTTAATAATGCAAATCTTAATAAAAAGAAAACATACCTTTAATATATTGCAGTAAAAAGATGCCTTTCAAATGATTTTCAATATTTCTTCATGGTTATCCGTTGGGTTGTCAGTATCTCTCCTTGATACGTCCCTTAAGCCTTTTGTGATTTACTTTGTTTCAATGGCCGCTCAAATTAACGTTCAAATATCAACGAGTATTTGTGTCATTTCCGGGAAGATAACTCTGCATTTTACAGCAGAACGTGTTTGATTTCTAAACACGTGTAGATATAAAACATGTTTAGACATAAGTGTTTAGTTGTTAAACATATTTCTATACATGTTTAGATCTAAACACGTCATGGAAGTGTTCAAATCCTAAACACAATTTTTACAGTGTAGACACCCACCATAAACAATTTTGTCAAAATTACGCGATTTTTCATTACGCAAAGCAGGTCAGCATATTAGTTTACATGTTTACATGTTAGTTTACATGTATTTATATAAATACAACAAGTATAGGCGTTTCGTTAAATATGCAGCTTTAAATAGAGAAAATATAAATGTACTGAGATACCCTTTGCATATTTGTATTTCTTCCCGGTCTTAGTTTCGTCAACAAGTTTTCAAATTTCAATAATTTAGAGAATTCACATCGGAGAAAATGTTTGTACTTCTGTGAAAAACTCTCAACCGAACACACATTATACATCTTAAGAAAACGATAGTTACCAAAGGACATATAGGACGTTTGTGAATCAAATTCAGAACAAGTCAAATACGGACCTCGAAAACATCAGAGATATGAGATCAGGTGCATGCCATAGAAAAGTGAGCATCTCCTGTCGAACGGTCACACCCGCCGTGTGTTTGACAAGATATAAGGGAAAACAGAAAAAAACACCTAGTATGAAGTCACGTCCATCATAAAGCCTGTTTGTTAGATTACCATTAACGTCCCTTTAAAGTAAAATATCAAAAACATGATACAGATGTGTAAGAATTAAAATTTGTGGCAGATTTTATTTTAAGTTCACTGGAATAAATCGAGTCGACATATCGACATATAAATGGAAGCAACTGTGGTTAATTGTTTAAAAATACCTCGTAGATATATCTAAATTTCGAGTTGAAGGTTACACCAAGTATTTTCTTCCTCTTATGTGTATAAGATTTATAAGAATCAATTTAGAGGTTACTATTTACCAATTTCAAGATTTTCTGAGAAATCTCAATTTTTTTTTTCTCAGCTGAGTCGGAAAAAACGTTGGTGGCACACACGTTTGAAAAAAAAATCTCAGATTTGAGATAAATCTCAGATTTAAGAAAAAACTCAAAAGATACGTTTGAGTTTGAGAAAATATTTAATTGGTGGCACAGTTTGGTGAGAAAAACTCAGATTTTTTGAGAAATCTCAGATTTGAGAAAATCTCAGGGTTGGTGGCCCCGAAGCCAGATATTCCAACAAGCTATCGGTATTCCCATGGGTATCAATTGCGCCTCGTTACTAGCATACGCATACCTTTTTTGTATTGTAATGAATCTACATGTAAATTGATTGGTCTCCAATAACCACACAAATATTGTCAATCAGGAACTCGGCATCTTTTTAAAATCAAGTTCAAGAAGTTTAAACAAAAACAAATTGCTTATAACCAATAACAAGGTATTTATACAGTATTATAATTAATTGATTAATTTTAGGTCATGTTAAGATTTTGTACGCCGGTGTAGTTGATTGATTACTTACTCATATGATTTAATATAAGATATTTTTTTTTTATTTTTAGGTCATGTTAAGATTTTGTACGCCGGTTTAGTCGGTAATCTGGCCAGATTTATTTACATTTCTTTGCTTGAGAATCCTTGGTGGGTGCTACCGTTTGAGTTCGTGCAAGGTAAGAAAAGATATTAACACTGTGACATAATGTGTAAGTCTCTCTCTATTGAAGAGTTCTTTTATCTTTTATCAAACTGACGAAATGTGAAAATAACGAACAAAAGTCAAGCTCAAAGGCCCTTGGAAACAATGAAGTCTGGGAGCAGAGCAAATACCGATTTAAAATCATAGATGTGGGATCTGGTGCCACGGAGAAGTAGGCATCCCATGGTTGACAGGTCACACTCGCCGTTCGCTCATTGACTGGTTGGACAGACAAACGGAAAATCCTCAGACAATCCATGTATTCCGGTATAATAATGGTCTGGAATACATGATATGAACATGCCTTGTGGAATATTTTGATTTTACATACCATATACTTAACTGATTCAAATCTTTTAAAAGGACCGACTTTTACTTTGTTATTAGGAATGTAATACTAGTATTTTCGTTTAAGTGAAATAGTGGAAATTCATCACGAAATGATATTTTTCCGTTGACAATCAATTTGTATTATGATATAGATAACTGTGTCTTTACACGGGGCGTTCTTAAAATTTCGTTTATTTTATCTTAACTTTCGATTTTTCAATTATTAAGAATTATAAAGCATGCAGAATCAATATTTCTCGCTCAGTCAGTCCCTTTGTTGAAGTGCTTGCCGTGACAAAGAGGATAAATGTCAGTCTCTCTTCACAAGAAGGAGCAAACGTAAATGTGCAAAGAAAAAAAAAGCAAGCTAGAACTACTTGTATTCAAATAACGCGAATACAGCGAATGTTAATTCCCCATGGCTCTAGTTAACCTTTCACTGGTATATTGTTTCCGTAGAAGGCTTTGGAACTGTTATCGTCATTTTTCATTTAATGTAATTCAATAAATGTTACCTTGATTAAAAAACAGTAATTATTGCTCCTCAAACATATCAAATCAATAGATTACACGAAATCCTTTTCTAACCAATCAATACAACTAATAGATGGAATAATAATATCGACCAAGAGGTGTAATAAAAACTACAGTGATGTTTAACTCCTAGCTGAAAGAGATTATTATCCAACAAATTGCATTTTAGCAAATATTTGTCAACATCAAAGGCTTAATTTTTAAAAAAAAAAATTGATAAATAACTTATTAAAAGTATCATTGTTGTGACTCACGTGATCTGTTTTACACCGTAGGTCTGACCCACGCCGCGGTGTGGGCGGCGTGCTGCTCCTATGTCACTCAGGCCATTCCCGTGGGTCTTCGGTCCTCCGCCCAAGGCATTCTTCAGGGTCTACACCACGGGTTAGGGAGAGGATGTGGTGCCGTGTTTGGGGGACTCATGGTCTATGGCTACGGTAGGATGACACAGTGTTATCTTTATTAATTAATGTAGTGTTCTGTGTGTATTACTTGACAGCCAGCTAACAGTATGATAATTACAATGAGGTTTGTTTTCAGGTAGTAGGATCACGTTCCGGATATACGGAGTCACGTGTCTAGTGGTGCTCGTGTTTTACGTTTCTTTGAGGTATCTTTTAGAAGACAGAAGTTCGTTCAGTTATGGCGGGAAACAGAAGCACGAACGTATGGAGGAGGAATCACCTACCTGTCACTTAGCTCCACATGGAGTTCCATCCGGAATGGCTCGGGATTTATCCAGTAGTAAACTGAATGCCGGTGCAGTATCAACATCATTATTACTTTTCATTATAGGTATTTTATCAGAAAATGTATCGAAACATTTATTACTGAATTAAAATTTCTGTTAATCGTTCTAATTCACAGGATACAATCAGCCAGTGTACGGAACAGCCAGTAAAGGTAAGTACAATGATATTTGGTTGTAATATATACATATTACATAGTGTTAGATATTAAATTACAACTGCAACATGAAAATTTAAATTCTACTTTTGCAGAGTCCTTCGATCATTCCACTGCTTTTCTTGAGGTGAGAATATTATTTTTTGTATTTATAAGAATCTGCACTTTCTCAGTTTAATCATTCTTACAGTTTTCTGTATATGAGCATCAGTATCTGATATACTAGTATCCTTTGTAAAATAGCTGTAGCGTGACTTTTCAGAGCTGTTATTGTCCTCCGCTTGAAAAGTGGGGGATATTAATTTGGGTCTGTCCGTCCGTCCGTCATTCTGTCTGTCTGTAACGCTTTCGTTTCCACACGATATCTCGAGAACCCTTTGAGCTTTCGCAATGAAATTTTGCATAGCAACTCCCTATGGACTAAAGAAGAATCCTATTGATTTTAAGGTCAAAAGGTCAAAGGTCATAAATTCGCAAATTCTGTCTGTTAGAACACTTTCGTTTCCGCGCGATTTCTCCAGAACCCTTTGAGCTTTTGCAATGAAATTTTACATAGCAACTCCCTGTGACCTAAGGAAGACCCCTATTGATTTTGAGGTCAAAAAGTCAAAGTTCAAGATCCTAAATTTATACATTCTGTCTGTGTTTAACACTATCCTTTCCAAGCGATATTTCAAGAGGATTTTGAGCTTTTGCAATGTAATTTTATACCAAAACTCCCTAGGACCTCTCTCACCCCTCTCAAAGTGTCCCGCTCCGTTTGTTTTATTAGTATTGATTGTATTACATGTCGCTATTTTCAGCACAGGGGCATGAGGAGAGTTATTACGTATAAAACAGGTTCTCGGCGGACTTTATATTCTTATTAAATCTATTAGAACTGTTTAATAAAGGTTAAATTAGACACCATGCATTGTGTATTTTGACAATATCGAACGTGAATATATATACATGTATGTGACTTCATCTTTGCATATAATTTTCGGTACTATACAGCTGTTCCGTGGTGCAGTGGAATGTCTCTCGCTTCACAAGTGAGAGGTCCCGGGTTCGATATCCGGACGATCCATTTTCTTTTTTTTCTGAAATCCTTTTTGTATTAAATGATAGTATTCAGCATGTGAAATGAAAAATTTATGAGGTCTAGCTTGTACAAACTCATAAAATCATCATTACAGTGTGATAAATATTCCATATAAAAAGAACCTTCTATACACATAATTAAGAATAAGCAATCAAATCTTTATAACTATATTGACATAAAGTATTTTATTTGCTTCAGTATACATGTATACATTTAATAATTCTACAAATTCAGTCAGGGAGATCCGACCCCTCCCCCCCCCCCGAACTGCGCATGGTTTACTTTTTCACTAAGCGGGGGACATAAATTCTCTGAATTATTTCAGTCTTATAATGGTCGACTTCAGATTAAATATTTTTTGTTGGTCTGCACATTCAATTTACAATGTAACTTCAATCGGTTTTAGATATCATAGAGACATTGTTTTTAAGGAAGCTCTAAACACTGCACACAAAAGAGCTCTACTTACAGAGCAAAACACTGTTATTTCAGATTTGTACTTATTATTAATTATAGAAACTATCTCAGGGCCCAGAGCAGCAGCGGGATTACCATGGAAACATGCCACAGATGTCCACCCAGGCGTACCAGCAACAACCTCAAGGAAACCCCAATCCCTTCCGGCCCTGACAGGAAATGACGTCAAAAATGTGCTCATCTCGCCCTCTCAAGCTCCATCGAATTCTCATGAGCTCATCGTAACTGATGCTGTCAAGCAATTGTCTGTCTGTACAGATTGCGTAGATGATGAACAGTTGCGTAGTAAAATACGTCAGCTTGCATTTAGATCCCAATCGATAGGATGAACACAATCATTAATTGTTGAATTGTATTTAGAATTGCGGACAACATCCTAGTTTTCAAACTTGCCCACTTTGGATACATAGTTGTATATTAATTTTATCAACACTTATTACAGAAAGTCGTTCAATAATTTACATTTAGACGTGCAAGTGTATTGTTTAGGATGTCAAAAATACAGTCATATGATACAGAATTTTGTTTCAGATTGTTCCACGTAAGCATGTTGGTTTATAAAACAAACATGTTTACCAGAATATTGTAATGCATTAGATGCAGGAAACTTTCGGAGACTCGAAGTCTTCGTGTAGTGATACGGTCTTGATTTTGTCATATACAAATAATGTTGTCATGAAAGTAAATGATGAAAAAAAAAACATCTGTATTGAGTGTTACAGTGTTAACATTGAAGTCGTATACTAGTACTTTTTAGTTGCCAGGGGCCCGTTTCATCAAAAGTCGTAAAGTTAAGCCTTAACTTAGGCGTACTTCCGGGGATTACGCCAAAATTTAGTCGGGCGTAATTTGCGTTTCACCAAGTGGCGTAAGTCTAGTCGTAAAAGATACGCTTAGTCACAGGACTAAGTCCTTGACAACGTTGCATTGCGCAGGCGCAAAAACATAAACATTGCCCAAAGCGTACAAACATGTATAAATTGTAGCACGTCAAAGTACAGAATAACACAAGTTATAGATAAATTAATACTTGCACTAATTGAAACATGCATGGGTTTATAGTGTTATGTAAGAGACATGCATCTTTTAAGAAACCAATTTTAGTTTTTTACAATATTTCAATAATAAAAGTCTAATAAATTGAATGGATGAAAAGGACAGTACATGTACTTGTATTTCGGAATTAAGCAAAACTATTCATTTTGGAAATTTAATTACAGCCATACCCCCTCTTCCCAAAATTGATACAGGTTAATAACTTCGCCTTTGATAATAAATTTCATGATTCGATAAATACTGATTCTACTGACAAATACTAATAATTAAGTTTGAGACATAATAAGATTTTTAAAAATTTTAATAAGAAATGTATATGCAAGCAAAAATAATGAAAACAAAATGCAAACGGTTTACTTAAACAATAAAATGCTTTCTTTGTTTGGTATAACTGGAATGAACGGAAGCAGCTGTTGCAGAAAAAATACATAACCCGCTCACGCGGGTTATGTAAATTTTTTCTATAATAGCTGCGACCGTTCATTCCAGTAATAACAATCAAAGAAAGACATTTTATTGTTTATATTTATATCTGTTTAAATAATTATTTAAAGTAGGATTAAAAAGATTAATTATTGTATTAATGATGCGAACGTCTTTATACGTTTCATTGATAGAACAGCCACTGATCAAGAAATCTGTACAAGCGACATTCCGACTGTAGTTCATGCAGTGATAAACGCAATGGGTTTTCTTAAGAAATAAAGGAGAATATATTCAGCGGATGTAAATATATATGAACACATTTTGAGTCAAGAAATAAATTTTACACGTTTACTACTATGGTACATGTAAGATAATCCTGTCTATATATATTAATTTTTTGTCAATTCAATTGATTCATAATTGTTCAGTTATAGAAAAAAATTCTTTACTATCTGCAGATTAAATGTGATGTACCGTTTTAAAAGTACGCAGAGAGAGAGAGAGAGAGAGAGAGAGGTTTGGAAAAATGACTACAAAGATATTCTTACAAAAATTCTCTGCTTGTGTGGTCTCTGTCTTTAAAATTTAGTTACAGCTACTCTTTATTTTGTTTTCATTAAAATGTAAGTAATGCAGGAAATCAAAAACATGTATATTTTCATCTTATATGTGCTTTATATGCGCTCACATGATCTTATACTATGTAAGATTTGCTCTTTTAAACAAAATTATGAACATTAAAGATGTCTTCTGCATCAATGTTTGTCTGAGAAAAAAAAATTAGGAATAATTCATTCTTGAACTTAACTGTGTAATTATCTCCATCTTACATCGATATTATAAAAGCAATAATTTATTACCACTTTCAAAAATCTCTTATTGTCTATGAGACCCCAACCCCCTCCCTGGGTTGGGGTCTATGATTCGCCGGGAACATCACTTGTCCCAGATACCTAGGAAAATAATTACTTTCGTCCTTAACTAAGTAATCTGTACATTCAATGTTAATTAATCTGCAAATTCGGGAGATTCTGAACCCTCTCTCCGACCCCCTCTGGATCCACGCATGTGGACGAGAAGTTAATAAGAAATGGACTCTTCAAACATGACAAAAACTATTTGGTTTTAAGATGGGTTATTTTTTTGAATTTTTTTCTTAAATGTAGAAAATTACATGAAAGATGATAACTATGCTTTTGAAACCGATTTTTTTTTTTTTTTTTTTTTTTTTTTTTGTAATTTTTGTTTTTCAGAAAATATGCTGTTGGAAAATATTTTTCAAAATAGACAATTTTAATGGGTCTCTTTTTAGTAAATGAAAAAGAAACTAGAGGTACCGTAAGCAATGAGTTCAATAAAAGATATCCCCCCGCCTTCCGTATAAATATAATGGCAGTGTCCATGTTTTGCTGTGGGAAACCCAAAATATGTATCGGATCAAAAAGTACAATAAGGCACAATGGCAATATATAATAAAGATTCTGTGAAAAGTACAATAAGGCACAATGGCAATATATAATAAAGATTCAGTGAAAATTTCACCAAATTTCAATCAGTGATATGAAAGGAGTTGCGGATAGAGATGGGTACCCCCAAAGCGTAACAGATGGACGGACGGACATCCCGATTACTAAATAGTATATACATGTACATATACATGTACCGTCCCGCTTTTCAAGCGGGGTGTAGAAATACAGTTATATATGTAAATTGATTTACAATACCTTATACATACAATACCACAATCAAATGTGTATGAATGCATTGTCAAAACGTAAGAAATCTCTAATAAAACAATCTTTTCTTCTCAGCAGAAATTTATCAAAATATTATTTGAGTACGTTATTACTCAAATCAACTACGTCCCCAAGTAGTTGTAACAACACCCCCCCTCCCCCTCTTCATAATATGTATAATTAAATAATGCATTGTTTGTATTTTAAATTCTTCTTAGAACCTTACTTTTTCTTTAGAACTCGCTAAAATTAATAGAAAGGCCTTATTTTAACTTTACGCCCTAACTTACGCCTACCCATGAGTAGACATTAAATTTTGGCCTAAATTTAGTCAGGCGTAACGATACGCTCTTTAATGAAATGCAAATATTCGTGCTAGTCCCGACTTTACACCGGCGTAGCGCTACGACTGGGCGTACGACCTTTGATGAAACGGACCCCAGGGGCCCACTCGATTCGGATCCTTCTAGAAGCAGAGGGGAATGTCGGAAGAGTTTGAATTTGTATGTCTAAATCAAGTGTTTAGAATGGTATTGGATATTATGGAATATTATCTGCAATGTTTTGAATTACTGCAGTATTTGTTTTTCAAGATTTTGAATCCTTTAATTTACAGCATTAAATGTTAGTTCAAAAGGGAAACTTGAAGAGATAATTAAGGATAGGAAAATTTTATTTAATATAATAGTTTTGGAATTCTTTTTATATATGTAAAGAAAGGTTTAAAACATCAAGTGCATGAGACAGAAGAATAAACTACATGTACAAAAATAAAAAATTGTGGTCAAATCAGGGACCTATTTATGGCTCAGATATTCAACCCATATTACATGGAAAATTATAAATCTGTGCTCGATGGTTGAATTCACTGCATGTTACAAAGCAGAAAAAAATGCTTCTTAACAGATAGAATTACCATTGATACATGATATAAATATTTTCTGCAACAGTATTTTGTTTAAAGTTTGGTTTATTTACAATAATAAAAGTCCTCAAAGTTTCTGCAACTGTATTTTGTTTAAAGTTTGGTTTATTTACAATAATAAAAGTCCCCAAAGTTTTCACCCACCCGCTTGACGCCATATTAGAATGCTGTCCTTCCATCTTTGATGTGGAAGGTTGAGATGGCCTTCTAAGTCTACCCTACTAAACCAATCGAGCAGACAGAATGGTTATTCTGGAATAAGAAGGGTCCCAATCGAGTGGGCCCCAGGTGTTTGGTTATTTAGTAACATACGCGATTTTATTATTAACATAAAAGAATTGTTTGTGTGTGTGTTTAAGATTATTATCAACATCCACTAAATCTTTATTTCTTATAGAAAAGCGATTATTGTAAGCATTTAAATCAAATTTCAAATCAACTGACTGAACTAAATTTACCGTTTTCTCTGAAAAGACTGAATTAATTTCAATCAATTTTACAATATGACATCTACGGATAAAAGAAAACAAAATTTCATTCATAAGTCGTGTCAGTATCCCACGTGAAATAACTGAGGGACACCATAGAATGTGACAAAGTTTCATCTTCGGCGTGAATGGTAACCCTAACGTGATGACTTCAATTTTCTATCGTTAACTTACTTTATTTATGTAAATATATTCTCTTAACCTGCATACGGGATTTATATATCCCAGTTGATTCGATATGTTCTACGATCAATTTTGTAATAAAACATATGGAGATAACGAACAGTACTACATGTAGCATTCAAAATCAAAAGTCCATAAAACAAAACAAAATAGGAACAGAGCAAACACGGACCTCCAAAACATCAGAAATGGAATCAGGTGCCATGTGGGAGTGAGCATCCTCTGCTGACCGGTCACACCCGTCGTGTTCTCCTTGTCATGATCGGGAAATAAGGGGGAAATCCGTCGTCAATAAATAATGGACTATCAATTAGTATGAAAAACGTCAGTCAGCAATTGGCTCAATAATAAATTATTGTATTTGCTGACAAGGTCATTGTATCGACCATAGAACTAAAGAAATTATTACTTTTAAACGAGACTGCTGATATTCTTGTTTCATCAACTTGTTTGTCAATTGTTCATACGTAGAACATGCTCTTGCGTATCGAATCAACTGAGATATACTGATAAACTCCGTATGCAGGTGATGGAGGTTTATTGCTGCATAAGTAAGGGAAGTTAACGATAGAAAAAGTTATGTTTTTCATAGAGTTTGGTAGTCGTCTTTTTAAAGTAAAATATCCAAATATAAAAGAGATATGACACAGATTCGGCGGTTTCTTTTATATCAAGTTTACCAGGATATATCGTTTCGAATTAAGAATAGAAATTGACAATACGTCGTCGATATATCTAAATGTCGAATTGAAGGAGGCCACAGCAAGAAATGTTTTCTTCTTTTCACGCATAAGGTTTTGCACAGATTCTGCTTCATATTAATACAAAAATTGATTTGCTTATAGCGGGGCGCAATTGGTACCCATGGAATTTTAAGCATCCACATGTGATTTACACCACTTCTTGAATATATTTTTGCACAGTACTCTTGAAGTTTCTCCTTCACTACTATTAATATCTTAGTGAGGAATAAAGAAATAGGCTTGGTTGAACATTTACTGAACAAGACGAGCAGTTTATAAAACAGATATAAAAGGTATTATTTGAAATCATCATTTCGCAAGTTCCGTGGTCGACGAAATAACCTATATCAACAAAATAAAATCTATCAGTAAGTCAACTGCAGGTGGCGGGTACGACCATTCGACTGGGGATAATTACTCCTCCATGGCATCTGATCCCACCTCTGTTTTTGGCTTCAATTGTTGGGTCGTCTGCTTTTGTATTAAATTTGATATGGAGAGTTTCGCCTACCTAATCAATACACTGACGGTCAGTAGGGGATGCTTACTTCTCCTAGACACCTAATCCCACCTCTAGAGTTACCAGAGATCCATGTCATAGGACTGACGGTCAGTAGGGGATGCTTACTTCTCCTAAGGCTCCTAATCCCACCTCTAGAGTTACCAGAGATCCATGTCATAGGACTGACGGTCAGTAGGGGATGCTTACTTCTCCTAAGGCACCTAATCCCACCTCTAGAGTTACCAGAGATCTATGTCATAGGACTGACGGTCAGTAGGGGATGCTTACTTCTCCTAAGGCACCTAATCCCACCTCTAGAGTTACTAGAGATCCATGTCATAGGACTGACGGTCAGTAGGGGATGCTTACTCCTCCTAAGGCACCTAATCCCACCTCTAGAGTTACCAGAGATCGATGTCATAGGACTGACGGTCAGTAGGGGATGCTTACTCCTCCTAGACACCTAATCCCACCTCTAGATTTACCAGAGATCCATGTCATAGGACTGACGGTCAGTAGGGGATGCTTACTTCTCCTAGACACCTAATCCCACTTCTAGAGTTACCAGAGATCCATGTCATCGGACTGACGGTCAGTAGGGGATGCTTACTTCTCCTAAGGCTCCTAATCCCACCTCTAGAGTTACCAGAGATCCATGTCATAGGACTGACGGTCAGTAGGGGATGCTTACTCCTCCTAGACACCTAATCCCACCTCTAGAGTTAACAGAGATCCATGTCATAGGACTGACGGTCAGTAGGGGATGCTTACTTCTCCTAAGGCACCTAATCCCACCTCTAGAGTTAACAGAGATCCATGTCATAGGACTGACGGTCAGTAGGGGATGCTTACTTCTCATAGACACCTAATCCCACCTCTAGAGTTACCAGAGATCCATGTCATAGGACTGACGGTCAGTAGGGGATGCTTACTCCTCCTAGACACCTAATCCCACCTCTAGAGTTAACAGAGATCCGTGTCATAGGACTGACGGTCAGTAGGGGATGCTTACTTCTCCTAAGGCTCCTAATCCCACCTCTAGATTTACCAGAGATCTATGTCATCGGACTGACGGTCAGTAGGGGATGCTTACTTCTCCTAAGGCTCCTAATCCCACCTCTAGATTTACCAGAGATCTATGTCATAGGACTGACGGTCAGTAGGGGATGCTTACTTCTCCTAGACACCTAATCCCACCTCTAGAGTTACCAGAGATCTATGTCATAGGACTGACGGTCAGTAGGGGATGCTTACTTCTCCTAGACACCTAATCCCACTTCTAGAGTTACCAGAGATCCATGTCATAGGACTGACGGTCAGTAGGGGATGCTTACTTCTCCTAGACACCTAATCCCACCTCTAGAGTTACCAGAGATCTATGTCATAGGACTGACGGTCAGTAGGGGATGCTTACTTCTCCTAAGGCTCCTAATCCCACCTCTAGATTTACCAGAGATCTATGTCATAGGACTGACGGTCAGTAGGGGATGCTTACTTCTCCTAAGGCTCCTAATCCCACCTCTAGAGTTACCAGAGATCTATGTCATCGGACTGACGGTCAGTAGGGGATGCTTACTTCTCCTAGACACCTAATCCCACCTCTAGAGTTACCAGAGATCCATGTCATCGGACTGACGGTCAGTAGGGGATGCTTACTTCTCCTAAGGCACCTAATCCCACCTCTAGAGTTACTAGAGATCCATGTCATAGGACTGACGGTCAGTAGGGGATGCTTACTCCTCCTAAGGCACCTAATCCCACCTCTAGAGTTACCAGAGATCTATGTCATAGGACTGACGGTCAGTAGGGGATGCTTACTTCTCCTAAGGCACCTAATCCCACCTCTAGAGTTACCAGAGAGCCATGTCATAGGACTGACGGTCAGTAGGGGATGCTTACTTCTCCTAAGGCTCCTAATCCCACCTCTAGAGTTACCAGAGATCCATGTCATAGGACTGACGGTCAGTAGGGGATGCTTACTCCTCCTAGACACCTAATCCCACCTCTAGAGTTACCAGAGATCTATGTCATAGGACTGACGGTCAGTAGGGGATGCTTACTTCTCCTAAGGCTCCTAATCCCACCTCTAGAGTTACCAGAGATCTATGTCATCGGACTGACGGTCAGTAGGGGATGCTTACTTCTCCTAGACACCTAATCCCACCTCTAGAGTTACCAGAGATCCATGTCATAGGACTGACGGTCAGTAGGGGATGCTTACTTCTCCTAGACACCTAATCCCACCTCTAGAGTTACCAGAGATCTATGTCATAGGACTGACGGTCAGTAGGGGATGCTTACTTCTCCTAAGGCACCTAATCCCACCTCTAGATTTACCAGAGATCCATGTCATAGGACTGACGGTCAGTAGGGGATGCTTACTTCTCCTAGACACCTAATCCCACCTCTAGAGTTAACAGAGATCTATGTCATAGGACTGACGGTCAGTAGGGGATGCTTACTTCTCCTAGACACCTAATCCCACCTCTAGAGTTACCAGAGATCCGTGTCATCGGACTGACGGTCAGTAGGGGATGCTTACTTCTCCTAGACACCTAATCCCACCTCTAGATTTACCAGAGATCCATGTCATCGGACTGACGGTCAGTAGGGGATGCTTACTTCTCCTAAGGCTCCTAATCCCACCTCTAGATTTACCAGAGATCCATGTCATCGGACTGACGGTCAGTAGGGGATGCTTACTTCTCCTAAGGCTCCTAATCCCACCTCTAGAGTTACCAGAGATCCATGTCATAGGACTGACGGTCAGTAGGGGATGCTTACTTCTCCTAAGGCACCTAATCCCACCTCTAGAGTTACTAGAGATCCATGTCATAGGACTGACGGTCAGTAGGGGATGCTTACTTCTCCTAAGGCACCTAATCCCACCTCTAGATTTACCAGAGATCCATGTCATAGGACTGACGGTCAGTAGGGGATGCTTACTTCTCCTAGACACCTAATCCCACTTCTAGAGTTACCAGAGATCCATGTCATAGGACTGACGGTCAGTAGGGGATGCTTACTTCTCCTAAGGCACCTAATCCCACATCTAGAGTTACCAGAGAGCCGTGTTTATGACCTGTTCACGTAATTTTATTGTTCGGTTTTTTTTTACCCTTTTTCATTTAGTTTATGGACAAAGCTTTAAAAATCTCAAAAAAGTATTTGGTAAATCTTGAAGAAGAAAGGGGGATAAGGCCTAAGAAATATATTAAAGTAAAATATTTTTCATAGGGGATAAGACCTAGGAAATACTAAACTACCTGGTAATTTAAATATCAAAGAAAGAACAAGAGGAAATCAATTGTAGAAATATCTGTTATTAGAAAATATTTATAGAACATGGGGAAATAAGGTGTAAAAATGCCTGTTTTAATGGATATCTTATCAAAGAACAATATGGGGAAATAAGGTGTAGAAATTCTGTAATCAAAGAATACAGTGTAGAAAAACAAGAGGCCCACGGGTCTTATTGGTCACCTGAGTATCAATTATAACACCTTGAATTTGGTTCGTATTTGAAATAAAAGGCCATGAAATTCACAATTTTAAAAGAGGCTAATAGATACACTTAAATTGCTTACTTTGGTTACTTAATACCCAGAGGTAGATCAGAGTATCAAGGAGAAAATGCATTTCCAATTTATAATCAGTTGTGCACCCCATCCCACAGGAACCACTGACCCTGGGGCCACATATTTAAAAAATTTGGAAATTTTAGCATTAATTTTATTTCATCATAAATGGTCGATTATTACCAAAGAGCAGATTTTAAAGCTTTCATTTATTTTTTTAGACTATGTACCCCTCTCCCCCCCCCCCCAGTACCCCTGACCCAGGGGCCCTGAAATTAATCATTTTGGAAAATGCACCTTTCTTCATCATAAATATGTACTTAGATAATTGGCCTAATACCCAGGAGCAAAGGAAAAGACTTTCAAAGAATTAAAATGCTTTATCACAATATTATCATTAGAGCCCCGCCTAACACCAAAACCCCCTACCTAGTGGCCATGAAATTCACAATTTTGGAAGAGGCACCCTTCCTCATCATAATTATGTACATAGTTCATTGATTTAATTACCAGGAGCAGAGAAGAAGATTTTTAAGAATCTATGCATTTTCACTATAATATAATCAATAGAGCCAAGCCCTAACACCAGAACTCCTGACTATGGGGCCATGAAATTCAAAATTTCTGAAGAGGCAACCTTATTTGAAACAAATAGCTATGTATTGATTAGTCTATTTAATACCCAAGAGCGGAGCAGATTTTTAAAGAATTAATAAGAATCACCCATAATTGCTTTATGCCAAAATTGGTTGAGTGGTTGCAGAGAAGAAGACGAAAATGATCAAATGTTAACGCACGACGACAGACGAAAACGGATAGCTATAGTTTACTCAGGTGACCTAAAAATATAAGTGAATGGGGCATATATATCACAAGCAAGACCTAAGAGATATATCTCCAATGTACATATGCAACAAACAAGAAGCTTATCGGCAACATGGCTCACCTGGGCACTTCTGTTACAGAAAAACAAGTCATTAAAGCATATTGACAAGATATGTTTGTGAAACAATTGATGCCCGCGTGTGGCAACACAGTAAAGGTTAAATTTTCTCAATGCAAATCAAACATGTTGATACCCAAAGTAAGGATTCTCACAAGAAATACAAATGTGAAATATAAAACCCTAGCAACACCTGTTTAAAAGTTATAGCCAATGTTAAAGTTTTTATACACCGGGGTCAAGGTCAAAGGGTCGAGGTTGTTGGTTTCTAGAGAGGCCTTCTCACATCGATTACATATGGGAAGTATGAAAGCCCTAAACCTAATCGGTCAAAAGTTATTGCCAAGGTTAAAGTTTTTTTAAGTTGGTCAAACTCCAAGGTCAAGGTCAAAGTTGTTGGTATCCAATGAAAGGTCTTGTCAGAAGGAATGCATATCTGAAAGCCCTAGCCCATAACTACCCATAGTCCTCTGCATCTCTGCACACATTCAAACTCTGGCGGAAGTTTGAGCCCTAGCCCTTAACGTTCAAAAGTTATGGCCAAAGTAACAGTTTAGAATTTTGGTGTAAAAGTGTGTCAAACTCCAGGGTCAAGTTTGGTGGTACCCAAAGAAAGGTCTTGTCACAAGGAATGCACTTAGGCAATATGAAAGCAATAGTCCCATCCAGTCAAAATTTATGGACAAGGTTCAAATTTTTGCGGACAAAACTGACAGGGCAAAAAACTATATACCCCGGAAACTTCGTATACAGGGGCATAAAAAGTAGTCCCATCTTAAACGGGAGAAGGACAGGATAGAGGGATCAGGATTTGAATAAACTTGCAAAAATTAATGTGAGGATTTTAAAGACATCCTACAAAATGTACTTTGTTCATTACGAGTCCCTCACTACCCCCAAAGGTGGTGACTGGAAGAAAACTGAATCTTCATACCCTGCTCCTACAAACTAAGATTAATCATGTGTATTCCCGGTCTTACTAAAATTTATGACTCTTTCCTATACAAGAGATTTTTCCCCAAGACAATATCTGTAACAAATCAGATTCTAAACTATCTGAGGATGCTTCATAACAAATATGACTAATCATGGCTTGTTCCCTACTCCTGTGTTTTATCTTTTGACTGCCCATTGTGGCTCAACCCTACACCAGGGGGTCACGAATCACTCTGGATGACTGCCCATTGTGGCTCAACCCTACACCAGGGAGTCACAAATCACTCTGGATGCACCACTACACATTATTTTCAAATATTCAGTGCACAATTGACCATGCAATGACTTGCTTAATTATTAGCCCTTTGAAAAAAGTCATGCTCATGTATTAACAACACAATAAGATTGTAGACAAAACATTTATTGTTTCATATATCAAGTCTTATTCATTTATCAGAATACAGTTAGGCTGAAAGAAAATTTTGTTGAAAAAAAAAAGCAGAAATGATGAAAAAGTCATTCACTTCATTATGGTATCCAATACTGAAACAGTGATTCATTAATGAATAACCAACTCTTTCATGAAAACATACATATTGATCTCAGCACTTCTTGTATAACAAAAAAAAATTTTGAGAAAAAAAATGTAGAATATAAAATATTGCATTAAAATTAGCACATATAAAATGATGCCAACATATGGACTACACTCTGCACTAAGATAATATAACACTAGACTAACACTACATCCACGTCTTCCTTTGGTAATCACAAACCGCAACAAAAATGGTCTACAGTTGGCAAGTACATTTCATTTATACTCTTAATTATTTCAAATCCTGGAAACCATTTTTATTGACAGTTTTTCCCTACACAGAGTTAGAGTATGTTATCTGAGAGTAATTCTTTTACAATTCCTATTCCATTTATAATTTTTCTGTTTTTATTGTTTGTTTTGGTCTGTTGAGATATTTGAGAACAATTTCCCTGGTGTCTTGAGACATTATGCAATGTCCATTCAGATAAAAACTCACTATTATGCTAGAAAACAAAAGCTGAACCATACAGAACCCAATAGAAAAGCTTTACAACTTAAAACAGTGAGAAAAACCAAAGAGCAATTACTTGACTAAACACAGACAGGTAGGGGAAATATAGGGTACAACAGAGTTATACAATAAATGTCAATATATAGCAGTGTAATGTTAATATTACTGTCCAATATTTTGACATGCAGTCTAATTCAATCTTTCACTTGATTATGCAAAGAAATTTGTCCAAATACAATGACTGAAGAAAAATAGCAAGGTGTACATGAATACAGAGTACAACCTGACCCAGAGATTTAGACAAATTCATTTGCCAGATCAACATAATTATACTATCACGTTCACACACTTGAAGAAGTCCAAACACCAAGTCTGTCTCCGGTGATGACAACTGTCAAACAATAGTTTAGGCTATGAGTGATGATTTCAAAATGATCAATTATTCTCTCCTTCTCCATCATTGTCACCGTCTTGATTGGCGTCTGATGTCCACAACTGTTATAATATAAAGACACCCAATTAAAGGACATACATGTTTATAACACAAGAGGCCCATGGGCCTTATAGGTCACCTGAGCATTATGCAACAACTTTCCAGTGATTGAATTTGATTCATGTTTTAAGCCAGATGCTATGGCATTCACAATTTTGAAAGAGGCATCATTGATCATCATAACTATACACTTAGCAGTTGCTTAGTTTGGTTACTTAATACCCATTGACAAGGCAGAGGAACAAAAAATACATTTCAACTAATCAGTAATATTCAGCAATAATCAGTATAGTGCCCCTACTACACATGAACCCCTGACCCTTAGGCCTAGATCCACACATTGCACAATTTTTGAAAAGGCATCCTTGCTTTTCAAAAATATTTGATTATAATTTAATTAATACCTAGGAGCAGATTTCAAACAATTCATTCATTTTCAGTCTATAAGTATAGCCCCCCCCCCCCTTCTCTATTGTATCCCTGATCATGGGGCCTTGAAATTCACAATTTTGGAAGATAACGGTCCTTGTTCGTAACTATATAGGTAATTCAACTGCTTAAAACCCAGGAGCAGAGAAGAAAATTTTCAAAGATTTAATGTATTTCACTATAATCAATAGAGCCCCCCCCCCCCCTAACACTAGAACCCTGACCCTAGGGCCCTAAAATTCACAATTGTGGTAGAGGCACTCTTGCTCATAATAACTATGCATTTAGTTTGTTTATTTAATACCTAGGAGCAGAGAAGAAGATATTCAAAGAATTCATGAATTTTCACTATATAATCAATAGAGCCCCCCCCCCCCCCCCCCCCCCAACACAAGAACCTCTGACCCTGGGGCTTTAAAATTCACAATTTTGGTAGAGACACTCTTGCTCATTATAACTATGCACTTAGTTTATTTAATACCTAGGAGCAAAGAAGAAGATTTTCAAATAATTCATGTATTTTCACTATATAATAAATAGTGCCCCCCCCCCCCCCTTAACACCAGAACCCCTGACCTTGAGGTCCTAAAATTCAAAATTTTGGTAAAGGAACTCTTACTCATCATAACCATGCACTTAGTTAATCTATTTAATAACCAGGAGCAGAGAAGAAGATTTTTAAAGAATTCATGTATTTTCACTATATAATCAATAGAGCCCCCCCCCCCCCCTTATACAAGAACCTATGACCCTGGGGCTTTAAAATTCACAATTTTAGTAGAGGCACTCTTGCTCATCATAACTATGTACTTAGTTAGTTTATTTAATACCTAGGAGCAGAGAAGAAGACTTTCAGAGAATTCATGTATTTTCACTATATAATTAATAGAGCCCCCCCCCCCCCCCAACACAAGAACCCCTGACCCTGGGGCTTTAAAATTCACAATTTTAGTGAAGGCACTCTTGCTCATTATAACTATGCACTTAGTTAGTTTATTTAATACCTATGAGCAGAGCAGAAGACTTTCAAAGAATTCATGTATTTTCACTTTATAATCAATAGAGCCCCCCCCCCCCCCCCAACACCAGAACCCCTGACCCTGGGGCCATAAAATTCACAATTTTGGTAGAGGCGCTCTTGCTCATCATAACTATGTAAGTAGTTTGTTTATTTAATAAACAGGAGCAGAGAAGAAGATTTTCAAAGAAATAATGCATTTTCACTACATACTTATTTAGCCCCACCCTAGCACTAGAACCCCTGACCCCAGGGCCATGAATTTCACAATTTTGGTAGAGGACTCATTGCTGATTACAATCATGCAAACAGTTTGACTGCTTGATGTCCAGGAGTAAAGAAGAAGATTTTTAAAGATTGCATAAATTTTAGTGGTTTTAGCCCCACCCCTCAGGCCCCAGGGGGGCAGGGATCATGAAATTCACAATTTTTGTTCCCCTTCACCCATAGATGCTTTGTGCCAAATTTGGTTGAAATTGGTTCAGTGGTTGCAGAGAAGAAGCTGAAAATGTTCAAATGTTAACGCACGACGAACGACGGACGACGAACGACGACGGACGAAAACAGATAGCAATAGGTCACCTGAGTTTACTCAGGTGACCTAATAAAAACACACACCATTAAAAAGTTATTCCACTTTGAACAATGAAACAGATTCTGGTTACAACAAGAAAACTGGAGTTCTCCCCCTTTTAAATTCTAAGCAAAAACTTCAATATTTATTAATCATATCTTAGTATTTCTTGTTTTTCTTTTGAATGAAATAAGCATTCACCTAATTTTAAAAAGATCATTTCTTGAATATAAAAAATATCCATGAGGCTATCTAAATTTAATTCCCTGGTTCTCAGGCCAATTTTCTCCAAAACAGATGCGGGAGGGCGGCATTTTATTTTTCATTTTATTGGCAATATATTATATGAAGGAGGTATTTTTTTTATTTTAATTTCCGAATTTTCTTAAACATAAAGATGATTTTTTTTAATCACAGATATACTTTCCATTTCTGGTCAAAATTTCCGCTTTATCCATTGCTTAACAGCGTGTAAACATCGTAGGTAATGTCCTCGAATGTATTTTCAAACGAAGTAGCCAAAATCTCATTGTAAATGGCTACCGGAAGTGATCTTTGAATACTAAACTACAAAACAAATGAGGTCGAAATTTTTTTCCCGGATTGGTCTCCGCAATACCAACTTTTTATTTTATCAAAAATACAATAAAATCGGCAATGCGGCTACCTCAAAACGGATGCGCGCGGGCCTGAGAACCAAGATTTCAATTTTATATGGCCTGAATATTAATTTTTTACCGTCAAGTTATCTCGTAATAACTGCATTATCAGTGTACTGTCTTTGTAAGATTCTTCATTGAGTGTGTCCAACTCTGCGATTGCATCATCAAACGCCTGGAAAAGAATTAAAATAATTTGAATTTTGATATTTCAATCTTAGTGTGGGAGTTTAACATTGTACATTGAAGCTGATCCCCATTGAAACTGCAATCCACCAGACTGTTTTTACAGGGGAGGCCACCTCTCGTAAATCTTGTCCAATCTGGACTCGATTTGTTCCTGGCAGATTAAACCCTATTTCAGGTTTAAAAATATCTTATTTTTAAACAATATTAAAAGATAAATGAAAAATCTTAAAAGTTTACATTGTATAAAGCAAGATGTTGGAACACTGTATGTTAAACAATCCAAGCCACTAGATATTCTGACGTTCCCTTTCCCAAATTTAAACTAGACATGACACACATTTAACTTTCTGTGGAATTACTAGTTCCTTTTAGTCAATACAAAATACCAAATCCACAGACATATACCAAAGTAGGCTTAGCATCATTAAAATCAAGAGTATTATGTCCATGGAAGCCAGAAAGATTTGAATTTCTAACTCTGATGGAGTAACTAACTTTACTGTAGAACACGAGGCTTGTGGGGGTTGACAATCAATTAGGCCTAGAAAAAAAATATGTTTGTTTCCGCTTTCCCGACCGACCCTAATTTATAGTGCCGACCCTAAATATTTTTTTAATGCTTTTGTCCCATGATGTGCAAGATTTCAACCAGGGAATTATAGCCTCCAACTTTGCAAGCTTTTCAAGACAGAAAGAAGTTTGGGTCACTTTTCTATTATAAGTTAAGTCACAGTAATGCTTGAAAACACCATTTCTTTTGTCATTAATGTTACTTCTATACACGTTTTGATTAAAGCAGCAAAAATTTTTTTTTTCAAAAAAAAAAAAAAATTGCCTACCTACCTACCCTATATTTTTTCAGCCTGAAAGCGGAAACAAACATATTTTTTTTCTAGGCCTTAATCAAGTATCATGAGCTGAATGTGATCACTTAACTCTCCACTACACTGAAGTCTGAACTCACAGTTTACATGCCCCTTTCTTATCATCAGTCCAAACTATCTTTTAAATACGTCTTTACAATCACGTTTATCAACTATGCATCTGGTACCTGTCCAACAATACAGAAGACAATTTTCTGTGCAAGTATACAATGCACTTTCAATGCAGGTCAAACTTCATTACACCACAGGGCCTAAATGACTTGGGGCACACACCATTAAATTTTGATACAATGCAGCATGAAATGTATGTCTTGGATTTTTTTTCTTCATATAAATCATTATATAATGACCTGAATTATAGATAGTTGAATGTCTGTAATGTGAACATTGTCCCCCAAATATTTCTATATTCCTTACCTTTTTGGCTAGTTTACAGGCCTCATCTGGCTTATTCATAATTTCATAATGGAAAACAGAATAATTCAATGCTAATCCTAGTCGAATTGGGTGGGTGGGGGCCATGGACTCATTGGCATTCTTGTAGGCTTCTTTGTAGGCATCCTCCGACTTTTTAACCACAGCTGTAATGATAAAAAGAATTCATTTATAAATAAAATACGCACTTGAAATATGCTCTTCATGACAATTTTCTGTAGTACTCAACTATAAGACACAAAAAGAGGTGGTTCTTAATCTCAATAAATTCATGTTAAGCATTAAAATAAAATCATTCCTAAGCACATAATAAAGGGACATATTTCTTGTATCGGAATACTTTAAGACATAGAATACCATCATTATTAAAAATATCCTTTTACATCTCCTTAGAAAATTAAATGGTGAATTATCTTGGTTTTTCATGGTCAGATCCTAATGCTTTGCCATGATCAAACTTTTATCTTGTTTGTCAACATACATAATAGATCAATTCCATGCATCTAATGATCTATTAAAATATTGCTAAATTACAATAAATTTTTCTATTTGTTATCCATATATTAAGTGCTGTCTAGCAGTGTCTATGAGTAATTTCATGGTTTTTTTCATAAATTACAAAAAATACTGTTTCCATACCCTCACAACCCCCTCCCCATTACACTTAATTCAACTCTCACTTTATTCATACATTTAACTTTCCAAACTCATCAACTTCCCATACATCTTCAGTTCTTTCTACTATGAAAGATGTCAACACAGTAACTGCTTGACTAAGAAAGATGTCAACACAGTACGCCCTCAACTAGCAAAGATGTTGACACAATAACCAATCAACTAGAAAACACCTCAACACACTAATCTCTCTACTAGAAAAGATCTTGACAGTGCACAAAGTAACTGCTTGACTTGAAAAGATGATGTTCAAGCAGGAACCAACATGTACATCCATGATGCTGAGGACAAGGCAGAATTTCAGATTATCTTTTAGCTATTTGAAGATGATATATGATTTTCCAGAGTTAAGGATTAGGAAAACTGAAAATTCTTTCAAAAGCCATCCTTGAGCAATAGTTCCAGGAGTAAAAACAATTCTCCTATAAATAAATGAAGATGTTCTGAAAAAGCAATTTTCATTCTCCAACTAATATTGTACAGGAAGATTCAATGAGCTTATCAAAACATTTTAATTCAACAGGGTCATTTCAAGTCTATATTTTAAGTGTGAAAGCCACTTTTTTTTTAGCATTTTAATTACTTAACTGTGTATCCATCGCAGTTTACATTGGTACAGTTAGTTAGTCAAATTCTGTGTTCAGTAGTGTGTTGTTTACCGTCATTTGGTAATTTATACACAATACCAATTCCTACTTCAAATTTCTATTGATCAGAAAGTTTAGGGATGGAAAATGTATGTGTGATCAAACTTCCCTTTCTGTAATTTTAATAGAATTATATATATTAGGCCTAACAATAAATGTGTCTTACTATTTATTGAGGCTGATATAACGTAAGAAATTATCTTTACTCATCCATTTCTGGTCTTCAATTCTATATTTTGTAGAAAAGAGATTTTCGATCTACATTCATAATTTCTAAAAACAAAAATTACAATTAAGGAAACAAAGTTACATAGCTTCCTGGTCAGTTTGTTCCTGAGATCAACACTGGATTACCCTGGCATATTCTAACCCTTCAAGATCTTTGTTACACACATAACTATTCACTTACAGTCTGAACTTGCTGTACAAATTATTTTTTTTCAAACTGTGAGGTACATGCTTTGAAATCTCAAAGGACCCCTCTGAGTGATCAATAACTGTATGTGTAAACAATGAACAGTAGAAATCATTTTGAATTTTTTTTAATAGCTTGTTGCCACAGACTCCCTTAAAAATTCTACATATGCTACATTAAAGCAGAAGATAACAGATTAAAGATAAGAAGTTCAAATAGAGTTATGTAGTGCAGTGGTGCTAAAACTAGAGGTGAAACGATTCACAGCAGTATCAATGAACATCTTTAGTAAGAAATTCAGAGTTGATCAAGTTTCGATTTCTAAATTTTTTAAAAGTTATTTTAATTTTCAGAAACTGAATTCAAAGTCACCAAGCCAAGAATTGTTTCACCTATAATTCAATCACACATTATATTGAGAACACAGTTCTCTAAACTTCAATTCCCACACGGGAAGATTGCCTCAATATAAAATACTAGGTTCTTATTGAACTCAAAATTCTTCAGGTCTGGCTGGGCCTTAAGAGCTTTTAAGTCCAGGAGAGTGATTGTACTTGGGTGTATCGTTTCAGCCCTTAGTAATGCTATTAAGGAGTCATCCCCTACAGAGAGAAGTTAGTGGTGTCTGATCATCACACAAGGTGCTCCTCCCTTACCCTGGTACTGCTCCCCATCAGACACCTCCCCCAGATACCGGTAATAGTCGCCCTTCATTTTCAGGTAAAACACCCTACTCTCAATGTCATTGTTCTTCTCGCTATCATCATTTTTTATTATAGTATCTAACAATTGCTGAAAGAAAACAAAGAATATTATGAATCTTCTAGTCACTACATCATTTTAGCCACAGGTGTGTTGAATTGTCTTTTGCTTTAGCAAAACCACTCAAATACAAAAATGTCAAATCCATGATCTAAACCAGCAATCCAATATTTCTCAAAATGGAAAATATGGAAACAATTAAATAAACCATAGAATGGAAATCTAATATATACAGAGAAGAAAATTTGAAAAGGAATTCAGAATTGATATGGTGCACAGCAAAAGACAACTCATGGACACCTGTGGACGTGCCTCATTTCTTACCATTCTTTTCATCTTCGGTGGAAACCTCTGCCAAATAACGATAGTAGTCTCCCTTCATTTTTAAATAGAAAACTAAACTATCTTTCATGTCAGTATTCTCATTGCTGGCAGCAGCATCTTTATATTTCTTCATCGTTTCCTCATCTATTAAATATTTCTCAAGTAAATCCTGTAAAAATTGTTCAAATGATTACAATTGATGTGATTCAATGTTTTATCAATGGTATATATGTGCTGACATTATTTGGACACTCAGCTCTGAAACAGAGTTACATCCCTTGATCAAAGTAAGTGCAAAGAGGGTAAGTCATTTTGGAAAATAAAAATTCTTATATTGATCATGCAATTTTGGTTTTGCACATGAGTTCAACACTAAGTACTGATAAATACGTCCATACTGACAGTTATTTCAAGCACATATTTGGCGAGAGGGTGTGTAGCCTTGCTCATGACTCATCTTTATTATGCATCACATTCTTGCTTCAAAAAAGTTGCAATTTGCCCTTTACCATAACAACGTCACAGCGGACAAGCATTGCGAATGTCATTAAAAAGCAATATTTCTTCATCAATGAAACATGTGCATACAATGTTATTTGAACACACACGTTTTTAACTTACCAGAACATCATTGCAAATGTTTTTAAGTTCTTCTGTAATTTTAGTTCTGTAAGCTGAGGCTATAACTTGCTTCTTTTCGCTTGAGTCTGTTTTCGATTCTATACTGGATATAACTCTCCAAGATGATCGACGAGCACCTACAACATTCTTGTACGCAACCGACAGCAGGTTTCGTTCCTCATTGGTGAGCGGTTTGTAGTTTTCCACCAATTTTTTCATAGCGTCTGCCATATCATCATACCTTTCAGCTTGTTCGGCCAACTTTGCCTTGTTAGCAAGCTCCTCTCTTGAGAGGCTCATGTTTGCTTTAATGGTAGATGTAAATTCGAAAGTTGTTTGCAATGTAGGTTTACTACAGACACCAGAATGGCGGAAGACAGGTTAAATTACACCTTATGACGTCATTTATTCATTCGCTTATCAATTGAAGCGTCTAAATATTTTAAGATAGTAAAATTTTCAAATAAGAATAATTGATTATCTATATGATACAGGTAAAAATCATTTACAAAATAATTTTGTACACATTTATACCTCACATAACCATGTACTTAATGGACTATTTTTTCTATGCAGAGAGTTATCTTTCCTTGGATTCCGAATGTCAAGTTTGACCTGTTGGGGATTCTCTCGAAAGCAAAGGGTAGCCATGACGTATTTGTTTCTATGGCAATGCATCTCATTATCGATAATGCAGTATTATTTCGTTTTTTAATTTTAACAAAATTTAAAGCATTTTTATATAACATGTTTACAGATCTTAGTACACTAGCAAGCATTATTTGTTTTCTTACCAAAGTAGTTTTCCTATTATTGCGGTTCCAGGTCAAATTTGTCCCAAAATGTTTTTGACACGAAATCAATGTCGTATTGAATACATGAAATATCTTCAATGCTGGGTCAGTAGTTTTCCAAGAGTAATGTATTAAATGAGTAAAATGGAAACAGTTATAGCATTGTTTTGGGGGCAAAACTGGACAGAAAACAAAATTAACTGGACAGAAAACAAAATTGTCAATTCTGAAAAGAAAATCAATACATTTATAAATATTAATAGTTAACCCGACTGAGCCGAAAGGGCTTGTCTTCCGGATTGTTAAATGTAATAAATTAATTAAAATTTTGAATTTACTTTAAATACACTTAAAAATTGTTAGAATAAAGATTTCAGTCAAGAGAAAACAAGATTCAAAAGACGCACTGGTCACACTTATATATATAAACTATATGGAGGTAAAGTATATTTTACAGATAAAGTTTTTTAAAGGTGGTTTTTCAAGAACATTCTTGGATGGGCCTTAAATCATTACGGGACCCTATTACTCGTGCAGCTATAACTAATTTTACACCACTCAAGCAATATATATAGATTGCCCAAAGATCAACAAACAAAAATCCAACAAATATTTTTATTCGAGTAGAAATTTTCATTAAAGCTAGTTTTGTAATAATTTCGATTAGATGCGAATTTTTAAGCAAATAATTATTTTTCCATCTCCTGATTACAATCTAGCCATTGAAAATCGTCGTCATAGTAATATAAGTTCGTGTAACACTTTTACATGTAAACAATTAAAATTTCTAGAATTCTAATGCTACGTTTACACTATGTTCCCGGCAGCCACGGCAATCACGTTTCAGGCCACCGTGGAAAAAACGGGACGGGCGTGAGAAAACTTTAAACGGGATTTCGTAACTCATCGCGATTGCCGTGGATGCCGTGCCAGATTTTTAAACTGTCAAAAAATTTGCCACGGCGGCCACGTTGCAGATGTGAAACTTAGTAGGTCGTAGTAAAACGGAATAAACGCAACAAAACGCGACAGCACGTAATAGACCGTAACAGAACTTGGAGGCAGTCCGCAGTGGGACGGGAGAATGTATATTTCCATTCATCTCACGGTCAATTCACGTTTTGAGACGTTTTGCTGAGTTTAGTCCGCGTTCTGTCACGGCTAGTTCACGGTTGTTGTCCGTTTTATCACGTTCTGCCACGTTTCATAACGGTCCTCACGGCAAACTATGGTGTACGGTAGCCGTTTCCTCGCGTTCAATCGCGGTTCGTCCCGGCATGTTACGGTTTATGGTCCCGGTGCGTTGCGTTCTACTACGGTCCGACACGGCGCACGCGGTCTGAGAGGAAGCATATAAAAGCCGGGCACTGCAGAGAAGTTTCATTATGGATCCATATGGATCTCCGCCTTCTCATCCGTCTTATTCGTCTCATTCCTAGTTGCTGCACTCCTGCCTTCCCTCTCTGTAACTGCTGCTGGTTCTCTTCATTTTGACGAAGTGATTTTAGGTATGCACCCAGCAAACACGCGAAAATAAAATCTTCGTCTTGGGAATTCATGATGTTTTATCTTCGAAGGGTCATGATACAATGATTGTTTCTGGTTAGGAGACCTTCTCTGGTACAAACGTGATCCATAGTTTCCCGGCGTCCATGTTTCATACGTAGAAAGACTTGACAGAACGTGAGAAACGTATGAGAACTTCATAAGAACGCGAGAAACGAGAGGGGACCTATCAGAACGTAAGAGGCCTGGGGGGAACGTGCTGGCATACGTGGCAGAACCGTAGTGCGCCGTGGAGCCTCCGGCACTCCATATACGGCCCATCACGGATTCCGTAGAAGACCGTAGAAGACCGCAAAAGAACTTGTCAAGACTTGGATATAGAGGGGAAAATAACCAAAATCTCACGGCGCACTACGTTTCGGGCAAACGGGGCTGCCGTGGCTGCCGGGAACATAGTGTAAACGTAGCATAAAACATAAATTTTTCATTTTTAAGTTTTAAATTTCTGTATTTTAAAATTTGATTTTTTCTAATGTTACCATTTTAGATTCTTATAATAAATATTCAAAATTCAAATTTTCAAAAAAAGTTTTGTATTTTAAACTTTTAAGCCACGGTTTTCGTTTATTCAGAAAGTTTACACTTGAGCCTATATCTTAAGCGCAGTAAGATCCCATATTTTGATATTTTAAAATAAGCTTAAATCTTTTAAATTTAAAACTTTCAAAGCGTTGTAGAGTTCACTTTCAAAACAAAGGATAGCAACAATAAACCCATGGGCCACACTGCTCATTTGAGCTTTCACTGAATGCAGCTTAAACTCATGAGTTGAAATACTAAATCGCTTTTGGAAACCTGGATTTTGGATATTAATTGACTGAGGGTAAAAACACGATGAAAAAATCATCTAACACTTATTACATATAGAACGTTTTAAGAAATTTGAAAATTTAGATTTTTGAACTTAAAAAAAAAATATTGAAGAATTCATAAGGTTTTTAAAATTTAGAGAAAATTGACCTTATGTATTTTTAAAAAATCTACACGTACTCAGATCATTGCAGGAATTTCAATTGTTTAGTGTTACACGGACCAAAATGGAAAATCTTTTCAACAATGTTTTCCTTAGAAAAATACTTACGTCTGATGTCAAAAATACCGGGCCTAAACAACAATGGTGAAAAAGAGTAGGAACCGGTTAATCATGAAAATATCAGTCCCACAATGCTATTAATTTCCGGTTTATTTGGCGAAAACAGAAGCACGTGTGACAGCAGTAAGAGCAGGTGCCTGTTACTAATTTGAAGTGAAAATGCCTAAATCCAAACGTGATAAGAAAGGTATGGTGTTTATTCAAAATACACATAAGTTGATCATCTATAGCTACATATCTGATGGACATTTATCATTTTAAGGAAAGAACATTAATAATTTAAGTCTTTCTAGATTTCAACATTTACCTAGCTCATCCTTTCAATTATGAATTCACATCAGCCAGGGACCTATGTTCTAATATACTAGTATATAGGTCCCTGCATCAGCGGATTATTGATGAATTCAGAAATATACATGTATTAATATATTAGTTTTATCTTTGATATTATGGATCTATAAAGACATCCTATAGTTTGTTGGATTGCTTTCCAAGAAGCTTAAGAAATAACTTCTCAGGAAACTTTAAAGCTCCAAAACAGTGGCGGTACAGAAACACTTGTCAATTAAAAGTTAATCCTTTCAAACTAGTCACCCGCGTAGTGCAATGATCAGAGTGTCCTGTAGATTCGTGAAGTAAGGAGCTGATCCTCATGTCACGGGTTCAAATCCACTGCGGGACGTGGAGTAAAGGTATAAATTTGCTGCCCTTCATTGGCAAGTGGTTACATCTCTTTATGAAGCACAGGCCAGGGTGGAGGAATACAAGTAACTCTATATACTTTAGCATTTAGAATATTTTATATAATGCCAGGATATTAGCTAACTTGTAATCCTTGATCACCATTTTGGCTACTAAACCTTGCAATTCAGGGGCCCACATCAAAATTTATTCACCCACAAATTATCACATCTTTGATTGAATAAAAATACAACAACCCCATTTTTCGTTATTTTTTTTTATCATATGCTTCGTGTTTCTTTTCTAACAGTAGAAACATTATCTACGACTTATTTTAATTTGAAGTTGAAATCTTTTGTTTAAAAAGATTGATATGGTTATCAAACATCATATATTCAAGCACATGTCAGGTTTTTCACAGATACAACAAAGATACTTTTTGGTTTGTTGGGCTCATTGATGCGTCGATGCCACATTGTGTCCGTCACAATCACTTAGACACTTTATGTATAAGTACTTCTCACTGGTAAATATAACATGTATAAAGCACCTTTACTGATTACGAAAGTTTTCAAGACAAAAAAATGGAACATTCGGACAAAATTGAAAAACAAATATTTATTAACATAAATTTTCTAATCGCCATGTGGGCTACTTGAACATAATTTTAAGTCACCCACAAGGAATATTGGTCGCAAATTGCGAGTGGGCGACTGTTAATCATGTTAATTTCAAACCCTGTAATCCATCTTGTTAAAATCAAAATATCTTAGATTTGTGCCATAAATATTCTTCTTCTGCAGAGTGCATACAGCCTGATGCTGCAATACACTCTGCAAAAAAAAGAAGAGTATTAAAGTTATAGTTTTAAGTAGATAGTAAATATAATTTACAGATAAAAGTTGGGAGTGACCATGCATTTAACTTAAATTTTCATAAAGGTTGATGTATTTAAGTATTGCAGATACAATAATTTTAATCTATAGAAAGTTAATCATCGATTTTCTGTTGTTTCAGTTTCTTTAACACAAACAAAGAAGAAAGGCCTTGAGTTTAAACAGAAGATAATAGAGGATGTAAGTAATCTATAAGTAATACATCTTTTGAGAATGTGTGGGTCTATTCCAATTAAAAACAAGATGTGTTTGTAAAACACTGATGCCCCTGTATGGCAGCTAATGGCAAGGGTTGAAGTTTCTCAGATGTAAGTCAAAGTCCAAAGTCAAAAGGTCAAAATTGTTGACATCCAAAGGAAGGTCTTGTCACGAGGTATATGTCTGTGAATTTAATGAAATCAGTGTACTAACAATTCAAAAGTTATGTACATTAGGTTCAAGTTTTTAAAAAGTGGGTCAAACTGTAAAGATAAAGAGGTCGGATATTTTAAAACTCATTAAAAGGTCTTTCCAGAGTTCTTGAAATCTTTCGGTCCTGTCGGCAAAACCGATGAAAACAACCAAGGACCGTTAACTTTGCGTTTTCCGTCAGTCCAAATGACCGGTAAGTGTTGACAGAGGAACTTGCGACAATCCGACCAAATTTTGTACGAATTCCCTATAACAGACTGATTGTAATCTTTCAAACCCTTTTCTGTATCTTGTAATGGCTTCTTCGATGAACGCAAGTGCCAAACTATGATTGGTAAGCTAGTTTGTTGATGGCGCTAAGGTAAGCCAGGCAAGAAAATCGAACTAAATGAAAAACTTATGACGAAAATTTAAATTTTAAGAAAGATGTTATACAAAGATCAAATCAGCATGAAGTGTGCAGTGTTTATTGACGCTCGGTACACAATGTATTGATAAATAATAATAAAATTCAAATACAGTTTTCATGTTTTTATTGAATTTTTTTTTGGGCGGGGGTGGACTGACAGAAATCTGTCTGGACTGACAAACTTCACATGGCAGTCAGTCCATTGGGCAAATGGCTGACAGTGAAAAAAAGAACTCTTGTCTTGTCACAGTGAAAACACATGTGAAGTATGAAAGCCCTAGCTCCAACAATTCAAAAGCTATGATTAAAATAAAAGTTAAAAAATTTTGGGTAAAAGTGGGTCACATTTTAAGGTCAAGAGGTCAAATTTGGTGGTACCTGAAGAAAGGTCTTGTCACAAGGAATACACCCGTAAAATATGAAAGCCATGGCTCCACCCACTCAAAAGTTATGTCCAAGGTTGAAGTTTTTATGGACAGTCAGACAAACAGATTTTACAGACAGACAGGCAGATGGCAAAAACTATATCTTTGATTACAGGGGCATAAAAAGACACTTTAAGAGAAAATGTATCACACTAATGATTTTCTCCTTTACAGTTCTGCTATATTTGATATTTGGAGCTCTTGAGTTTACTGATATGTTTTATGTAAATTGTTTGGTTTATTTCATAGGATTTATATGTAAATATTTAATGTGTATTCTTGTTTTAGTACAGAATTATCTCATTGTCTTTATATTGTAGATCCAGACCTGCTGTGATAAATATAAGAACATATTCCTCTTCTCCGTCACTGTCTATATATATTGTAGATCCAGACATGCTGTGATAAATATAAGAACATATTCCTCTTCTCCGTACACAACATGAGGAACACACATCTTAAGGACGTTCGCCAGAGCTGGATAGGAAGCCGGTTAGTCCTAATTATGTTGTCTCTAAAGTAATAAATTGACTTCTCTTTGTTAGCATCTCAAGAATGGAAATGCTCACATTAAAGATGTAACAGGTTTGACCATGGATATTGGCCTGTGTATCTCAATAGGTAGAGAACCTGACTAGTGATGCAGGGTCCCAGATTCAATCTAGGTCAATCCCAATCAAGCCATACATTTTCTCCTTTCCTGTTACATGATGATTTATTGCCATCAAACACCCTAGAATTTGCAAATTAAAGTCCTGCCAGGGGCAAAGAACAACTTGTTTGTATTTTTGTGGGAAAAGTTTTAGGAGGGAGGAATGTAATGGTTTGGGTTGTGAATAGTCCAGTGGTAGAGCACCTGTCTAGACTAGAAATGTGGGAGTCCTTGGTTCAATTCCCAATCAAACTATCCATTTTCTCCTTTCCTGATACAAAGACATTTTCAAAGCTAAATGGGAAGTGTGCTTATGTGTTGATATTTATATTTGACACTTGAGTCTTAGTCTCTATTGCAACATGTTAAAGATGCTGTAAATGTATTTTATTTAGCATGTTAGATATTTAGTGTAAATTGATTTTTTAACAGGTAATTCTCTTCAAAGTATTGATTGGATTTTCTTTAAGTGTAAATTACAGTACAGACACATGGATATTTATTTCTACAGATTTTACTTTGGGAAGAACAAAGTGATGTCATTGGCATTAGGGAGGACCCAGGAAGATGAATATAAAGACAACCTACACAAACTGAGTTCTCAGTTGCGCGGACAGACAGGACTGCTGTTCACCAATAAATCAAAGAAAGAGGTCCTCAGGTATTACTTGTACACTAGGTATATTGAGTCATGAGAGGTTGGGGGGGGTAACTTAATCTAATTTTCTCCGAGATATCTGGCTAGCATGGTTAAAGTGAACACTAACCCTTGATGCATAAAATCTCAATTTCATTCCCTCGTGATTCATCCCCTTCATCTCCAGGGTTAAGAATCTAGGGCAGGCTTAATTACATTGTAAGTCATAGTATGAATGTACTTTATACTTTTTGAAAATCATATTATGGACATTTAGAGGGCAAAACATTTACAAGGTCATAATGAGAAGTTAACCCTTTTCCAAATATTTTTAAATTCATCTCCCCTTCTTTACATATAGGCATAGCAGAAAAATTGTTATTCACATGATGTTTTGACCATTTTTTTTGCAAATTTACGCATGATATAATAAAAATTGAGAGTTGTGTACCCCTGGTTTGGGCCAAAGGGATCATAGTTTGTAAATGAACTTTAATTTAATCTCACTTATATATATGCAAAGTAATTATGGACAGGACTCCTCTACCAATAATAAAATTCAAAAGATCAAATGCTAAGGTCAGACATTTTATATTGCATAGAGTTCTCTGTAAATTTAATGGAATGAAATCTGAAGTCATGAATTAAGACCCCTGTTGACTAAGCTATAAGGTTAAGCATATGCCATTTCTTAATTCAGTTCACATCTCACTGATCTTGGTAAAGACTTCAGTATTGATAACAGTGTTATGAATTTTTACATCAGAAATTGACTTTGATTTTACAGATTCTTTGATGAGTACAGAGTGCCAGATTATGCCAGATCAGGCAATCCGTGTCAACAAACCGTGATGTTAGATGAGGGACCTATCCCAGAATTCTCTCATTCCATGGAACCCCAACTCCGACAGCTCGGACTACCCACTTGTCTACAGAAAGGTCAGACCAAATCTTATACAGTAAAACTCAGTTATCTATCAGAAAGGTCAGACCAAATCTTATACAGTAAAACTCAGTTATCTATATCTTATACAGTAAAACTCAGTTATCTATCAGAAAGGTCAGATCAAATCTTATACAGTAAAACTCAGTTATCTATATCTTAAAAAGACTTTCAAGTCTTAACATTTCCAAAAAGGAAGTTGTTTTCATTTTCGCAGGTTTATATATAGTTCAAACTAAAACAGGTCCTATATTATGCGAAAGTATACTTAATTATGACTGGTTTAATCACTGTTAAAGGGGGACTTTGTCTTAAATTCTGTGTGCGCTAATTAATTGTACCATGATTTATTGTAAACACTTACTGTATAAAGCAAATGTAAAGTTTTCTACATTAATTTGCTTGCTTACTTACAGGTGTGGTAACCTTACTGAAACCTCATACAGTGTGTGAAAAAGGGACAGTACTGACACCCGAACAGGCCAGAATCCTGGTAAGTAGATCTGTTGGCTGTTTATTAGGTCCCCTTCAAAGAAGGGAGGGCATATTGCTCTGCTGCTGCTGTTGGTCCACCATCAGTTTCTGTACATTTTCTTAACAGAGGTTGCACATATTGAAATGAAATTTGGTATGGAGATTTATCATATGAATATCTAGAGCAAGACATTTTAGGTACGTTCGCACCATTTTGTACAGAGTTATGCCTCTTGGACCAAGAAAAAAATTCCAAAAATTTGCAGTTTCCGCTCATTTTCTTTGCAAAGGTTGCACATATTGAAATATTTGGTATACAGAATTATCATAAGAATATCCAGGTCAAGTTGTTCTGTTTTGGGTACGATCGGACCATTTCAGACAGACTTATGCCCCTTGGACTTTGAAAAATTCCAAAAATTTTCAGTTTTCATTCATTTTCTTCACAGAGGTTTTACATATTGAAATGAAATTTGGTATGAAGATTTATCATTAGAATTTCTAGGTAAAGTTCTGTTTGGGTACAAACGTCTTTTTAAGACTGAGTTATGCCCCTTTGACTTAGAAAAATTGCAATTACTGGGGTATTTGGAGGAGGGGGCATTAGTGTATTACAAACATCTCTTGTTTACTGTAAGTATAGTTCATTGGCTGTCAGTTTAATTACTTACTGTTCTGTTGACTGTCAATTGATTTATTGTCAGGTTTTCTTGGTGGATAATGAAAGAATTTTGTTCAAACAAGTATTCAAAGTTTAACGTAAAAAAGTTATTGAAACATTTATATGATTTATAAATCCAATTAGTGCTTCAGATTTGTTTATTTATTTATAGAAACTGTTTGGACACAAGATGGCAGAATTTTATGTAACAATAGAGGGCATGTGGTCATCCAATGGAAAGTGGGAGGTGATATCAGACAGACCTGAACCCATTGTACCCCCCAAAGTCACGGTCAAAGGTTAGCTTGTGTATTACTCCCAAGAATGGGTGCATCAAAAGTGATATTGTGTATAACTCCTAAGAATGAGTGTATCAGTCCCAAGAATGAGTGTATCAAATTATCGATTGTGTATTACTCCCAAGAATGGGTGCATCAAATGTGAGCTTGTGCATAACTCCCAAGAATGGGTGTGTCACAGGCAAGATTGTGTATAACTCCCAAGAATGGGTGCATCAAACAGAGTTTTAAACTACGGTAACTTGTAATCTTGATAGCCATGTGAGCTACTAAACCTTGCAATTCTGGGGCCCACATCAAAATTAAGGATATCCGATCCTCAGCCAGGAAGGATAACTCTTTAATTTATAATTTAATTCAAAAAGTCTTAAAATGAAGCTTGAAATTAAATTTTTTTCATGCAACAATTTTCATTTTATGCCTCTATGTATGATTCAATGTTCTTTTAAGTTTTAACAAACGGTTTTTAAAAAGTTGACATTTGTACCTCATAAAACTAAGTAAAGCTTGCATATTTTAAAAAATCAAAGTTCTTTTAATTTAGCCTTAGTTACCAATATTTATAAGCATGATTTGACATAAGAAGTGATTTACGGTGTCTTTCTTTGAAACAATTCATACACTATGCATTATGAAACAATGGAAGTAAGTAGGCGAAAGTAAAGTACCGAATAAGTATAAAAATCATGCAATTTTCTTTAAAAGCCTGGATACCTATGATTTTTATTCCTAAAATGTATTTCTTGATTTTAATTATCAATTAAAAAATATGCAGTAGGTAGTTCTAATCACATTTCCTGAAAAATTATTTGAAATTTACTAATTTTCCCTATATAACATGATTAACTTTAAAGATGAAGTTCAAAGAAACACCGTGGGTAAATACATTTTACTTTGAGAATTTAGAGACATCTTTGTGTGCATTTTCAATTACTCAATGCCTGATTTTCAGAACCTGAGGATCGGATAACCTTAATTCGCCCACAAATTATCACACCTTCTACTGAATAAAAATACAACAACCCCATTTTTAGCTCTACTGGTCAGAGACCAGAAGAGCTTATGTGATAGTAATGTGTCCAGCGTCCGTCCGTCTGTCTGTCTGTCTGTAAACAATTTTTTCAAAATGCTACTCCTCCTACAGTTTTGGTCTGATTTCAATATAACTTGGCACACAAGTAGACTACACTAAGATACATAATTCTTTGCATTGGTTTTTGATTTCGATGAAAGGTGTTGCCATGGTTACTAAAAATAGAAATTTCTGTGAATTGCTTTCAAAATGCTACTCCTCCTACAGTTTTGGTCTGATATCAATATAGCTTGGCACACAGGTAGACTGCACTAAGATACATGATTCTGTGCATCGGTTTTTGATTTCGATGAACGGTGTTGCCATGGTTACTAAAAATAGAAATTTCTGTGAAATGCTTTCAAAATGCTACTCTTCCTACAGTTTTGGTCCATTTCAATATAACTTGGCACACAAGTAGACTACACTAAGATACATAATTCTGTGCATCAGTTTTTGATTTTGATGAACGGTGTTGCCATGGTTACTAAAAATAGAAATTTCTGTATAATTCTTTCAAAATGCTACTCCTCCTACAGTTTTGGTCGGATTTCAATATAACTTGGCACACAAGTAGACTATATGAAGATGCATAATTCTGTGCATCGGTTTTTATTTTGATGAGCGGCAAGGATCATTTTTGTATTTATTGCTGTTTTAAAGTTTCAAGTCCCAACTGCTACTTTTCTTTTCCTTTGTTTTAAGTATAAACCAGTAGAGCTACAGTCTCGACAGAGACTTCTGGTTTGTTATTTTTTATCATATGCTTCGTGTTTCTTTTCTGTCTGTAGAAACAATTATGCATGACTTATCTAAATTTGAAGTACCGGTAGAACTCTTTTGTTTATAAAGATTGTCATGGTTATTGATTCATATATTCAAGCACATGGCAGGTTTTTTCACAAATAACAGCGATACTTTTTGGCCTCATTGGCCTGTTGATGCCACAGTGTGTCCCACTCTCTCCCATCAGCTCATGCATTCACGTGTCTGAGAGAGGAACGAACGACAACTCTGCATGGGAGATTGAGTGTGTACATCATAATCACTCAGATGTTTTATGTATAAGTACATCTCACTGGTAATTATAAAGGCAAAGCACTTTACTGATTATGAAATTTTTCAAGAGAAAAATACAAAACATTCGGACAACAGTGAAAAACAAATACTTATTACCGTAAATTTTCTAATTGCCATGTGGGCAACTTGAATATAATTTTTAATCGCCCACATGGAATATTGGTCACAAATTGCGAGTGGGCGACTGTTAATTTCAAACCCTGTCATTGTGAGCTTGTGTACTACTACCAAGAATGGGTGACACAGGCAAGATTTTGTATAACTCCCAAGAATGAGTGCATCAAAAGTGAGCTTGTATATTACTTTCAAGAATGAGTCTATGAAATTTGAGCTTGTGTATTACTCCCAAGAAAATGTGAACTTGTGTATTACTCCCAAGAATGGGTGTATCAAATGTGAGCTTGTGTATTACTCCCAAGGAAATGTGAGCTTGTGTATTACTCCCAAGAAAATGTGAACTTGTGTATTACTCCCAAGAAAATGTGAACTTGTGTATCAATTTCAAGAATGGGTGTATCAAATGTGAGCTTGTGTATTACTCCCAAGGAAATGTGAGCTTGTGTATTACTCCCAAGAAAATGTGAACTTGTGTATTACTCCCAAGAATGGGTGTATCAAATGTTAGCTTGTGTATTGCTCCCAAGAAAATGTGAACTTGTGTATTACTCTCAAGAAAATGTGAACTTGTGTATTACTCCCAAGAAAATGTGAGCTTGTGTATTACTCCCAAGAATAGGTATATCAAATGTGAGCTTGTGTATGATTCCCAAGAAAATGTGAACTTGTGTATTACTCTCAAGAAAATGTGAACTTGTGTATTACTCCCAAGAAAATGTGAGCTTGTGTATTACTCCCAAGAATGGGTGTATCAAATGTGAGCTTGTGTATTGCTCCCAAGAAAATGTGAACTTGAGTATTACTCCCAAGAATGGGTGTATCAAATGTGAGCTTGTGTATTACTCCCAAGAAAATGTGAGCTTGTGTATTACTCCCAAGAATGGGTGTATCAAATGTGAGTTTGTGTATTACTCCCAAGAATAGGTGCATTGTTCTGATTAACAGTTGTGTATAGCAGTATATAGTAATACCAGAGTGCAGGGCAGTTTTTCCTCTTCCTCCCATTGATTAGCTGATTGATATTGAATAAATTTGGCATAAAACAATAAGTAATATAACACAAAGGTCTAGATTGGAACTTAATTGTGCATGCATTGAAATGTATTATTGCTAGCGCTCTCGAGCGCTAGCAACTACGTTAGTCCAAATTCCTTGAATACGCATGCTCGGCCGCCATGGCCGTGCATTCTGGGAAAACTGTGAAAACTACTACAGATAGACTGTACGATAACAATTTCGTTGTATCATGTTGTAGCATGAAATAACTGTTTATTTATTGTGTAGCTTACACTTTAAAGATAATTTCATATTTATAATATTTCTAATTCTGGTTTTTTTTTATTTGCTGACGGAAAAGCCCGAGTCATTATCTGATTGTTCTAAACAATGACAAGGAATATCTTGACAAAGATGACCCAAAGGACCAAGCTTCTTCACATGCGTTCCAAACTCTCTGGACTCTTTACACAACATACACTTTTTAATTCCCATGTATTTTCTTTGCTAAATTACCAAGAAATTCTCTTCTTTATATCAGCTCATACATGCAATGTCTCAATCGGCATCTTCTTCATATTATATAGAGCCCCCCCGCCCCTCTCCAATAGGTCACCCACCCACCTTGTTTCTTTACCTATGTGTCTATAAAATGGGTACTCTTCACAAAACAATAATAACTTTATCACTCTCCAGCCTCGATAAAAATAAAAGAATTCAGCAAAATAAATCACTTGATCACGGATCTTCCTTTCTGTGTATAAAAATTGCTACGGCGCTAGCTCACCTATCTTTTTAAAAGATAAACTTGTACCTTATATATCTTACTAAATCTTCTATAGGTCATGGAAGTCAGGAAATCTACATCAAGCTAGAAAATGTTCACAAGATTAAAGCGATTACTGCTCAAATTTGGTTTTAATATTTTGGTTTGGTTAAATTTTAAAATACAATTGAAAGAAAAATCTAGCAAATACCATACAGGACTAAAATTTACATGTAAAACGTCTCTGAAAATGAAAGCAATTTCGATAGGAGAATGGTGCTTTATCAATTTTAGTGTGTGTAGTCTGACAGCTTGAACTCTATAGAACATTTTTGCAAATGAAAATATGAGATGGGAACCATTGATTATCATATTTTATGGATTGCTTTCAATCTTTATTTACAGCTAAGCCGAGGGAAGACGTGGAGGAGGATGATATGGAGGAAGAAGAGGAGGAAGATGAAGAAGAAGGAACGTGACGTCAGAAAAAACTGTGTTCTTATGTTAATGTTAATAAAAAATATTGGTTTTAGTTTCCTTTTTATTACAATTGGAAAATAATTGTAGAGGTATGCATGTGATACAGTTTTCTAATTTTAGTTAACGACCCCGGGTCAATATAATTTTGGTCCGATTTAAATAAAAGTGAATGGCAAGTGATTAACAAAAAAATGTACTGAAAAAGAGTTTTTATTGTAGACAAAAACTGCTGCCTTTATTACCACTTATTAACAGTCTGGCCCTCATTTGGACTATGGAATTTTGTGGAATATTGACTTTCAGCAAGATTGCTGACACTCTCATGCAACAAGCAGAGAAATCATAACTCCTTATGTATAAAGGTCTATGATGTCAAAATTTATCTTGAGACAATGTATGAAATGTTTTATGATACAGTGTTCAGACATATCTCATAAATCACAGTAAAAATGACGTTACAGTCATTTATGCTCAGAACAAGGTTCTCTAAGTACTGTTTTCTCTGGAACTAATGGGGGCTCACTGTCACCAGGCCTCACCGAACTGTTGTTATCCCAATGGGACTTGGTCATCCTAGAATCCACATCATGTAGTATATTACATAGGGCCCCCTCTAATGCAAAATCCTGGATCCACACCTGATATGTCGGGTTTCTTCTTTAGGGCAGTTAGGAGCAAGGACAGGGTTCTGTTGATCATTTACTGGACTGTATTATATCTCTGTCTGTAAGGAAGACTTGGATTCCAGTGTAGGTATACAGCAATCAAACTCGTGTCCATATGCAGGAACTTGAATTTAAATCTAAACACAAGTTTAATGAAATTGATCCATAGACAGATTGAAGTCATATTCCTTTGTCACCTGCAGTCGACTGAAAACCAAAGGGGAGATGGCTGACAGTATTACAATGTCTTCCCCTTCATATTGAGTCCATCGTTTGGCATTACATTGTTGACAGAATTCATAAAAGAAAAATGATCAGGTTTTCTTCCCTTCCCCATCATTGTCACCGTCTTGATTGACATCTGATGTCCAGAACTGTTATAATAAAAAAGACAATTATGATTTATAATAATCCATGAGGAAGTCAGTATTCATTTTGAACAATGTAACAGATTCTGGTAAAAACAGGAAAACTGAAGTAATCTCCCTTTACATTTCAGCAAATAAAGGAAAATTGATTTCTTCTTTCTTTCAGAAAAGAATAAAAATTGCATTATGCTAATTTGACAAGAAAAATTTCTTGAATATAAAAAAGTATTATTGAAAGATGAATATTTATACATTTATTTTACCATCAAGTTATCTCGTAATAACTGCATTATCAGTGTACTGTCTTTGTAAGATTCTTCATTGAGTGTATCCAACTCTGCAATTGCATCATCAAATGCCTGAATAAAAGCAAGTCAGTTATTCAGAAATATAGTATGTGAAAAAAAAAAATGGTCAAATGTAGGAGATTTTGGAAGAATTAATAAATTATCAATGAAATCCAACTGCAACACCAGAACCTCAACATGCTCAAATAAATTTCACAATTTTGACTTCAGAGAATATCATAATCCATGCACTCAGCATGTCTGCTAAGTTATTAACCCAGGGACAGAAAAGAAGATTTTAACAGAATTATTCAATTTCAAATCTCTTAGGTTCAAAGATCCTTATCCTTAGAGTACAATTGGTAAAAAGATTTTTACAGGGTATCTGTTTAGGTCAAATATGAAGTGACCATAAGACCCTGCCATTTATCCTTTGATGATGCATTGAAAATCCTTTCTTTCTAGTTTCTGTAATATATCATCATCCTTATGTTAAACTTTGGTGATAATCTGCCCAGAGGTTCTTGAGAAACAGATTAGGTTTTTTTTCTTAGCAATCACTAATTTTGTTTCTATTACCCTCATACCCTCACCCTGTTTAAGGATAAGGTCCCTGTTTTTAGTAGGAAATGCATTGAATAGTAACCTTTCTTTCTATAAAATATCATCCTTATATATGTTAAAGTTTGATGATAATCTGCCCAGAGGTTCTTGAGAAAAGAATAATTTTTTTAGCAATCACTATAAATTTTGTTTTTCCTACCCTCAATCATTACATCAGTACCACACCCTGTTGAAGGATGAGGTTCCTGTTTTCAGTTTGAAATAATGTGCCTTGTTAAGGTTAAGGTTACTCATAGATTATGACAAAAATTGAAACAAGGGTTCTTGAGCTATGGCCAACATTCCGAAGAGTTGACACAGTGCCCCTCACAAATGGCCAGAGCATTCTGTCTTTGAGCATTTGGCTCATGGGAGCTGATAACATGTATTGACTTGAATCCTGGGTAGTAGAAATTCATGATATGAGATTATATAGCAAATGAACATTACTTGTTTTAAAGTAATATACGCCGTATGGATGCCGATTTGTATGTGAAACAAAATGATTAAATGATTTGAAACACATAAAGTGTAATGAAAAAATATTATTTCCACAAAATTTAACTATAAAACTCGTTGTAATAACAGAACAATAAAGCAATATCTGCAATTTCAAAATCATTTGAGTCTTTTCATGAATATTGATAAAGGAAGTGCATAAACAATAGGCCTATATATATATAGACATGCATGTCCACAGGAAATCATAGACATCTAGGTTTGTTGCATTTTGACAACGATTATTAATAAAAGGTTAATATGCCTCAAAACATAGTAGATGGTTGATATGATTACATTTAAAGATAAGTTATATTAATAGTAACACGCCATCCATGTCAAAAGTGAGTTGTATCCCAAAGGGCTTACCTCGTTTTCTTGACGCCGTGTTTGTTTATCAATCTAAAAGTAGCGACGGCGTCACGTGGTGGATTTATATAAAAATAGACATTATTCTCCTTGCAGGATAATAAATAATTATAATTTGATAACTTTATAACGAATTTTATTTAAATGGTGTAATTTACAGCATTTTCGTAACTTTTATTGGTAAACAAAATATATAAATTTCCAGCCGTATTTTAAAATGGCGCACGTTATAGCGTATATTACTTTAATTGTATTATGTTGCTATACCTAGTCAAGATACAGCTGAAAGGACAATTTATTCTCACCTTTTTGGCTAGTTTACAGGCTTCATCTGGTTTATTCAGAATTTCGTAATGGAAAACAGAATTACTCAATGCTAATCCTAGTCGAATGTGATCAGTGGGGGCCATGGACTCACTGATCATTCTGTAGGCCTCCTTGTATGCATCTGATGACTTTTTGGCCACAGCTATAAAACCAAATAAATTCATTACCAATTTCAAAATCATTTGAGCATGCCTGATTAACATACATGTATTCTAATCATTAATGACATTTGTGTAGCAATCAAAATCAAATACTGGACAAAAAAGAGGCCCATGGGTCACAGCACTCACCTGAGTAACTTTGGCCCTGTTGTTCTTTACAGGTTTTCCCTTTTATTGCCACCACCTTACCCATAGGGGCTATGATTTGAACAATTTAAAATAAACATTATCCTTTCCTTACAATTTTCATCTTTTCTGGCTCAGCTAGTGGTTCTTGAGAAGATTTGTTAATGACCCCACCCTATTTTCACCTTTTCTTGATTATCTTCCCTTGTAAGGGGGATTGGACCTTCAGTTTTAACAATTTAAACTCCCCTTTACCCAAGGATGCTTTGTATCAAGTTTGGTTAAAATTGGCTGAGTGTACGTTCTTGTAAAGAAGTTGAAAATGTGGGAAGTTTACAGACAGATGGACAATAAACAATGGGTGATCAGAAAAAGTTCACTCAAGCTTTCAGCTCAGGTGAGATAAAAATGATATTATTTTTACATAAAGTCAACTTTTCCTTCAATTTTAAAGCAAGAGAAAATATCATAGATTAAATATGATATGTTCAAATAAAGCTTTGAAGAGTTGTCTGGTGGTGCTAATACTAGAGGTGAAATGATTCCATGAACTTCATCAGTATATAAACAATGCAAAGTCTTTCAAGTTTTAAATTTTTTCAGATTTAAAATTTGATATAAAATTTTTCAGAAACATAATATACTCTAATAACAAAGTACATGTAGATTAATTGTCAGAAATTTTCAAAAACTTCAATGTCAATGAAAGTAAATTAATTATTCCTAAACACAAAATTCTTTGTTCTTTTATATGGAACCTAAAATTTTACGAAGAGATATTCTGTACAGATCTGAAGTTTAGGAGGGTAATTCTATTTAAGTTTATCGTTTCAGCCCTTAGTAATGCTATTAAGGAGTCATCCCCTACAGAGATAAGTTAGTGGTGTCTGATCATCACACAAGGTGCTCCTCCCTTACCCTGGTACTGCTCCCCATCAGACACCTCCCCCAGATAGCGGTAATAGTCGCCCTTCATTTTCAGGTAAAACACCCTACTCTCAACCTGTACGAAATGTTCCGCCTGGAATATAGGGGGAATTGAGGCGTACTTGGAGAGGCTTCAATTTGTCTCTCTACATATATGGTGATACACAGGTTCCCGGCGTAACTTAGGCGGAAACCAAGCGTAAATGGGCAGGAATTTGAGGCGAAAAATGCAAATGAGCTACGCCCGGAAAAATAAATGACGCCCGTAAAAAAAATTACGCCTGGAAACTAAAATGACGCCTGGAATAGAATTACGTCTGGAATGTCCTTATTATTATATAATACTATGTGACCTAAAAACCTATATATTTACCATGTTTACAAAGAAAAACATTTAGATTATGATTTACAATGTTAAAGCTAAAAATTTAGCTTTTTGAACTGTAAGAAAACATAATGACAGGTCATTAACATATATAACAAGTATAGAAAAATAACATGAATTTTGTGTATTAGGGACACTAAAACACGATCACCATGATTGAGTGTGTATTTACATGTAGAATTAAACTTTTTTACAATACATGTACATTTTATCACTTCAATAATTATATTGAAACATTTTAGTTACTGACTGAATACAATAAAATTCTTCATTTACTCAGCAGTTTACAGTTAGATTCTCACTGCAGCCTCTATCAGACTGATATTTCTCAGAATGTGTGCAAGGACAAACTCAAATATCTAAAGTAATTTTAGGGTCAACCAGTTATAACTATCGTATTGTACATAATCATAATCAAATTTACTCAAATAGGTACTAGATATTCATGATCACACCTACCAGCAGACACTGTGTCATCCTCAAGAAGTGTAAAAGCCTTAACATTGAGATATCTGCATTTCCTGTTTCACTCACACTAAACTCCCTCCTTCATGATCAAATTCAAACTTAACCTCCTATCTGAAATGACCCTTAATTGATAATTAAATTGACCAGTCAGAGGCTTTTACTTCTCCTAAAAGTTCCAGGCGTAATTTTTGTTTCTATTTTCCTGCCATTTTACGCCCGGAAAATCTGAACTTACCAATTGACACCCGGAAATTAGAAATGACGCCTGTAAGACGTCTCTTCTACTGAGGCGTAACTTTTCGAAAATTCCGTCTCCGCCTCAAGTACACCCGGAATTTGCCAATCCCTGCTCAATTCCACCCAAATTCCAGGCGGAATCCGCCTTTAAAATTCATACAGGAATGTCATTGTTCCTCTCGCTATCATCATTTTTTATTACAGTATCTAACAATTGCTGAAAGAAAACAAAAAATATTATGAATCTTCTAGTCACTACATCATTTTAGCCACAGGTGTGTTGAATTGTCTTTTGCCTGACCAAAATACACAACCCTGGTCCCCTAAATCTCCAATCATGTGCTCTACCCTCTGACCACCACTTTCCAGCATGGGTTTAAATCCTAGTCCCACGAGTCCGGTGCATAGAAAAAGACAACTCATCTCTGCCAAATAACGATAGTAGTCTCCCTTCATTTTAAACTAGAAATTAAACTATATATCCTCATCCTGCATTATAAATTTTACCCATCAATAGAATATATTTCTTAAACATGAGTAAATTCTGCAAAAATTGTTCAAATTATTTGATTACAAAATTGCTGTTTACCTTTTCCTTTTGCCATAACAGCGCAAGGGAGGACAAGCATTGGGAATGTCATTTAAAAAGCATAATATTTCATTAACATTTTAAGTTAACTTACCAGAACATCATTGCAAATGTTTTTAATTAAGTTCTTCTGTAATTTTAGTTCTGTAAGCTGACAACATGTGGTGGACTTAGAGTTGAGTGATGCACATATAAAATAAGTGATGCAATACATCTGGGGCCACAATTTGACACACTAGCCATATCCCTGGAGTGTTTGCCTAGTGGCTGCCCCTTACAGCGTTTTGAATGAATTGGAGTGCATTTTAAAACAGTGAACTAATCATGCTAATAGGGGTCAAAATATTTCTTTTATGCTATGTATTATACATCATTGGATTCGTAATAAATTAAATTTTTCTCATCTATTTACAGAATTTTTATTGTAATTTTCTATAATAAATAATTCAAGTGAAGGCAGGTGTAAATCGCAAAATAGATATATTTTAAACAAATAGGCCAAAATTGCATGTCTTTTAAAACTATGAAATTTATGTGTGATGATATAATTAACGGTTAAATTATTATTTATTATCCATTTTATAAGTTTGATTCCTCAGAAATCAATAATTGTAGTGATACTATAATGTCAATCTCGTCAACAAATTTTCAAACTTGCGTGATAAAACTTGATTTCTAAACGTTTTTGAATACCGGGTATTTTAATGATCAAATTCTATTAAAATAATTATTTTCTACACCTTTACATTTATAAATATATGTAAAATGGAAGATATCTTCTGAATTTCTGAGAAACAGGTAACGAAATCGGCACTGCGCGGTCCCGAACTTCACAAAATTTTCGTATCTTATATTGAAGTATATTACACGTATAGATCATTATAATTATCAAACCTTTCAAGAAATATGTAGTTGATAGCTTGAATTTCATGTAATGCTTTACTGGATGGAAAATATTGCGTATTGACTGAGCATCGTAAGTAACAGTCCGCCATTTTGAATTTTGGTGGGACTTTCCGAGATTCTTGTTTTTTTACACAAGTAAATCATGTGATTTCCAACTGTAGTATGATGCAATCATCTATTGTAACCTGTGATCTGATAATTTTAAAAACAAGCGGTAATTTCAAGTCAAATCAACAATGAAAATATAAACACGTGTCAACATATGGTCAAAAGTCTCATGAAAGGTTGGATGCTAAGTGTCAAGTCTTCATTAAAGGGTAAGGGAGGGAACGATCTAAGGGGGAAAGAGCTATTATCTACGCATGTTTAATCTTAAAATGCTTGAAAAGACGTTTTTGCAGCCCGGAGGACCGGGCTGCTCTATACATATAAGTTTAAGTGTTGGTATATGGGGATTGGGGTGGGAGTAGTTATTCAAAATTAAAGGTTTTCTAAACATTGAAAAGATTGTTAATCAGAATGTTCTTTCCCTTTATAAATTACGAGATACATAATATATTTACTTCCATAAAGTGATTCTCTAAAAATAGATATGTTTTTCACATTTAATATATAAAGTTGTTTATCATTTACTATCGAAAAAACGACAGGTCCCCTTTTTTAGATCATCGAATTTTACTTCTCGCATAAAAACGTACTATGCACACTTCGTGTTTTATATTCTAAAATTGAAAATTAAATACATTTTTGAAAATAGGTGATGCATGTGTCTACCTTCAATTTATATTTTATGCAGCCAAAATCTACTCGAGGAATTGAAGTTTAAAATGGTATCGTTTTTGTTTGACATTTATCCGACTATAAGTTTTCCAAATATTCGCGACTATCGTCTCCATCAATTAGACGCATGCCTTTTCACACGTATCGAAGCGGTTTGATGATCAAAGGTCATTTCCATTGTTTATTTTATATATTTCCCGGGCGACAATTGATGGTTACATCAATGTTTTCTTGTTATTTATTTGTTACAAGTGCCTTTTTAACTGCGCGCGTTTTGTAGACTGTAGTTTTAGAACAAATTAAGGTACGTAATCCGGATTTGCAATAAAAAGTGCTAGGGTCGGCGTGTAAAATTAGGGTCGGTCGGGTTACCGGAAACACAGGTATTTTTTTTTTTTTTGGCCTTATTAGGAAGACTACAAACAACAAAGTGAATGTCAAAACAAAACGAAATGGTGAGAAATGTTTTACATCCCGATCCCGATTGAATAGGTCAGCTTTTACATGTACTTTGGTAGAAGAGAGTAAACGGATTTTTGGACACTTGCATAGCAAAGATATGCTTTTGGTACCGACTACAGACTTCCCCCAAAATTAAAAAATCTGATTGAAGAGCAAAAAAAAAAAAAGAAAGAGAAAATTAGAGCAAACAAAAACCAAACAAAAACTCATTCAATTTCAGAATTTGTTTCTGTTTGTTTGTCCGCTTCTTCACTGTACATACCCAAGAGCAGAGAAGAATAATTTCAAATGGAATATATATATGGAGGAAAGGTACTTTATTCACCTCAAAAGTCCATTCAAGCAACAAACAAATGAGGAGCAGAGGAAACACGGATCTTCAAAACATCAGAGGGATCAGGTGCCATGTAGGAATGGGTATCCCTCGGCCGACGGTTCACACCCACCGTGTGCTCCTTGACATGATCGGGAAAAGGGACCCATGGACAACATCGCTCACCTGAGTAACTAGGTGCAAAAATCAGTTCAGTGTTTAAAAGTTAAATATAAAAGTGGGCTCAGAAGGGAGATCTATTTGAACAACCTTAAATCTATACATTTTTTATGCTTTCATATTGATGATCTATCATTGCTCGGTTGTTCTTGTGAAAAATTTTAACGATTATTCCTATGTATTCTTACACAGAATCTTGATCACCCAATGTGGCCCCACTCTACCGCAGTGGTCATGATTATATTGAACAAATTTAAATCTACACTACAAAAGGATGCTTCCATATGAATATAAACAAACAGCTTTGTTGTTCTCGAGAAGAAAAAGTTTAAAGATTTTTTTTCCTTTGTTATCTTTTTAAAAACTTTGATCACCGATTGTATGTAGACCCAACCTACCCCCGGGGTCATGATTTGAACAAACTCGAATCTACAATACCATAGGATGCTTTCATATACTCAGTAACTATGACCAATCATGGATTTGCTGTAAAACAGTTCTTGAGAAGATATCGTTAAAAGATTTTTTTTTTCCTATATGTATTCCTATGTTAAACTTGAGTCCCCATTTTGGCCCCAACCTACCCCGGGGTTCTTAATTTGAACAAACTTGAATCTACACTACCAGCTAGAGGATGCTTCCATGAAGAAAGATAAGGAGAAAACGAACAGTATTCAATACAAGTTACAGCTTTTTAAAAAGCTTGCCTGACTAAATAAATCTATATCTGCATGAGGAGTGATAAACCTTTTGAGCAATACTTTTGTTTTTAAGAACCTTGCGTAAATGAAATCCAGAATTTATTTAATTTTTAGAAGATTCATCACTACATTGCATACTAAAGAGTTGGTATTCTGTACAGTGGGGGGGGGGGGGGGCTGCAAGCGGAGTGATCTGCCCTTGGATCTAAATTGATTTCAAACTTCTTTGTAACACCTTTTATAAAATCTGTTACAAAATCATGCATTGTCAACATTCTAAAAGATGGATATAATTAAATACACATTTTGTTGGAGTGTATTTTCTCCACTGAAGTAAACAGCAGTTATGTGTGTTATTTTTTTCTTTAAAAAAAGGGGGGTTAGTCCTACTGTCATATATGTGTGGAAAGAAAAATCCAAGATTTTGCAATTGTTTCTTATTTATTGTGTGCATCTGAACAGAGACATATAATTCTTCATGCATCTGGAGACCATGACTTTATTGGACTAGTCCATTTATGGAATAAACCAAACGCGGGATTGGAAAACAATTTATAAAAATCATTTCTTTTTTAGTGTTGCATGTCCAAATACTGATATATTATACGATATGCTGTTTAAAAGAATGAGATAAAACAATTATTTGTAGACAGAATTTTTATGAAAGAATAGATGGAGGTAAAAACGATAAACTCTAATTCCATGGAAGTTAGAACACATTCATACAATAGAACACTCCAAGGAAAAGGCGCGAAGAAAGCAGTGACATTTGGCGCGAAAAGAGCGATTCACCCCTTTGGTAGAATATTAATGGACTGATCCAGTAGTATAGAAATGCAGAAAAAAAGATACACAGACATGTTGAAACAGTGAATGACATGGAATAATCGTTCCATGCAAAAAGATTAAAGGAAATAAACACTACAATACTTTGCATCAGTAATTTCATTATTTTTTCTGAAAACTGTTTCTTTTAAAATGCAGGTAAAGAATTCCAATGTTAAACAGCTTGCACAAAATCTGGCTCTCTAGGTATGAGCTATTAGTTTCGGATTTTGCAAATATCAATCCTTATACAGCCTGACGCCGTGACGTCAGGCAATCAAAATCCATATGACCAATCATGTACAGCCTGACGCCGTGACGTCATGCAATCAAAATCCATATGACCAATCATGGCTTTGCTGTTTTTAAAAAGAAGATTTTTTCTTACACTGTATGTATTCTTATGTTAAACTTTGATCCCCCATTGTGGCCCCATCATACCCCTGCGTCCGGACCATGATTTGAACAATCTTGTATCTAGACTATCAGAGGATGCTTCCACTTGAGTTTCAATTTTCGGCCGGGAAATGCCATTTCTGAGATGTGTAATACGGAAAAATCTGTCGACAATTCAGTCACCCTTTGACTTAACTGTATTTACTGACGAGGTCCTCGTATCGACCATAGAACTTACGAAAAGGATGACTTTAAACAATACTGTTGATATTCTTGATTCAACTACTTGTTTTACAACAATTTACCTCATTTTAGATATTGTTCATACGTATAGAGCATGCTCTTGGGTATCAAATCAGCTGAGATACATACACTCCGTATGCTATTCTCCTCGTTCCCGTTACACATAATGCCCCAATTCACTGCCTCCACCTGTCTCAGTCCTTGGCTGCTGTCCTCGCTGATGCCCAGCTATTTCATCCCAACTGCAATCTTTCTCGTTCTGTGGTTCTCCTCCACATATTTTCCGTTTTCCTTCCTGAATGTCATGTCTGCGGTGGTACAAATTCGGGTGTTCTCCACCCTCAGTACATGGTCAATTCAATTAGAGTTCCTTAATAGAGTTATTATCTTACTCGCTCTCTCTATCTT